GTAACTCTGTCTCAGTTTCTGTCATTCTGATTCAAAACATGTCAGTCTGCCTCTGTTTCAAAATCTGTCACTCTGTAGACCTACTTTTTTTCTTCAAAAACTGTCACTCTGCCTCAATATCTGTCATTCTGCTTGTGATATTTTGCTTCAAAATCTGCCATTTTGCTTCAATTCAAAATCTGTCATACTGCATCAATATTTGTCACTGCCTTAATATCTGTCATCTCTTTGGAGTGACAAAGAGACTTTCCCTCTCCTTAATTATCATGCTTTTTTGCTGTCAATAAAACTACCCTAAATATCTTCAGTTACTGACAACAGAAACCTATGCAACAAGCATAACATGAATGACCACAGAGCAAGTGTGAAAGCTGGTCAAATGCAGGGTTTGGATCTGACAAGGAAATTTGGCTGTGTTTTCTACTTAGCCCCTTTGATGGAAAGTAGCTTCTGCTAAATCAAGCACATAGAAAAATCTATGCCTTGCAGCAATGAAAAGTATTCCTAAATGATCTCCCATTTTATATGAGTCAGAACAGAAATCAGTTTTGTCCTGTAACTTTAAAGATGAAAGAAAAGTTCAAGACTATTATTCATTCAACATTTTAATTCATCTTCAGCCTCACTTCAATAATGAATAATATGGAATGCATTGACTGATATAATCACCGGTACATATACAATAAGGTTCATAAACCCTCTGCTCACTCATATTAAATGTTTCTTAAAGTTTAACTCTTATGATTTTCCAAAAGAAATGTATTTTGTAAGTAAAATACAAACAATTATAGCATGGCTTGCGGGGTAAAATCTGAGAACTTATACCCAGGAACTCTATGAACATGATCAACATAATAAGAAAGAGTATGAGTCAGTGTTGCCAATTAAGATTCCAAAATAATTTTGTAAAGTTCAGAGCTTTCCAATTAAGATTCTAAAAAAAATTTGTAAAGTTCAGAACTTACCAAGGAAGATTGCAAAATAGTTTTTAAAGTTCTGAACCCAATAAACTAATTTGTATGCATTTTTTTTTAAACAAGTTTACATTTTACAGTACAGTTATCAGTTGGTTTCTTTCAGATTATATGCATGTATGGTAGATCTGTCCCTGATGAACAAACTTTAATGTACTTAAACCATATTCCTACAACAATGCATGGTCTCTACCATGTCCCAAAATCTATAAAATTTACTTACTACATCACACAGACTTATCTAGATTGAAAAAAACTAAAATATACCATCACTATTTCTTGAGCAATCATACTATGATTTTTTTTAAAGTATATGCTATATTCATGTCAAACAAGGAATGTTCACACAAAAGAATTCTGGAGAGAAAAAAATCTAATAGCTTTCATTTTTCAGACAATAGAGTTTCTTGATTTTATCAAAAGCAGGTTAGAAATTCCTGAAAACTAAAACATCAACTCCCATCACTGTTATGTTCAGCATGCAATATCAATGTACCAAAATGCACCCCAAAAAACTGAATTTTCATCAATTTTCAGTCATTTTTTTTTTTTGGTGTCTGCAGTTCTAAATATAACTAATCTTAAAACAAGAAAAGCATCAGTTTCAGTACCTCAAACATTTGTACATCCCTAGGCTACAGTTACAGCTTCTTATTACAGATACATGTAACAAAGTTTCACATCATTTCATATTTCTTATATAAACAAAAATACATCATACTAAACAGAGAATGTATACACATCACTGGGAACTGATATGTAATATTTGTTAAGTGTATATATATATAATATATATATATATATATATATATATATATATATATATATATATATATATATATATATATATATATATCTCCTCCACTCAATGAACATGCATTTTATTAATAAAAAAGATCATCTCTCATCTATGAACATGTACATTCATATATTTATTCTTTACATACCTTATACCTCCATTACAACAGCATTTATATTTTTTCTTTTTTTTTTGGGGGGGGGGGGGGTGCACATTTGTATACATTTGGGGGGGGGGGGGGTCTAAATTGTCAGAAGTCAATCATATGCCCTTCAATAACCATTTTCAATAATTATGCATGATTATGCCTTGTGAACCAGTTTGGATATAATTTTACCTTGCAAAACAGCTTGGACATCATCAAAGTTAACACTGAAAATTCCTGAGGGCAAAAATAATCGCCCAGTTCCCACAACTATAATTGAATGCACAATTTGTATTTTGCATTCTTATTAAATTGTAGCACCCCAACACTTACTGGTATTTACGTTATGTCACAACTAATCAAAATTTTGCTGGTAATGAATTGGTACATGCAATCATTATAAAGAGGAAAATCAATGTATATACATGACAATTCAAGATAACGAGGTTAAAACATAGAAAAAGTAGTTGGGACTCACTTTGACATACTTGTGGTATTCAAGAATTAATGGTGTTTGAGATATCAAAAGTTCAACTTTTTATCAATTTCATAACAAGTACTTATCCAGTTTAAGCATTAATAATGTGCCATTATTGCAATGCTGACATACAATATACACATTTCCTTCTGCAATCATCATCAGCGCTATGATCCAATGAAATCAGCATGACCAGTATAATAGCATGTCAAGCATATAAACAAACCAGCTAAAAGGCATTCAGAAAAATGTCATTGTACTACATGTACATGTATATGAAAACAATTTTTGGAGCTGTCGAAATAGGATGACGACTCATTTTAAGTTCTAAACTACTAACCTGAAGGGCAAGCTAAAAATGAAATCGAAAACAAAATGCTTGAGTATCACATCAGGTTATACAGAAAACTGATGATTCAAACATGTTGATTTAAAAAAAATAAATTACTACAGATGCTCCTCATTCTGCATCAGGGAAGAGCACTGAATTATGTATTTATAATCAATTTGCTTCTTTTTTTTTTAGACATCAGTTTACACCTTAACCCACATAAGATAACCTGTTCAACACCCTCTGATCAAGTCTTGGTGCCTTATAATTCTTTAAAACATCAGAGGTAAAATTTGTAAATAGAACCATCAAAAACATCAGCACTTGAAGCATCAATCCCTAAAACTTGAACCTTATATCGTCATACACTAATAACAATTTCTCTTGGATCTCAGAGATTGCATATAAAGAGTAAGTTGCAATTTTTTTAAAAGATAACAAAACAAAAAACAGTGTACAACACAAAGAAATGTCAACCCTTAACTCTGATGTATTGAGAACATTTCTCTGTGGCAACACCTCAAAAACAAAAATAAAAATCCATATCAAAATACAAAAAGAATCTGTATCAAAAGATGAGAAGTAGAGGTACTGAAACTTCAGCAAAATGTGAGGTACTTCATATCTATTTTTGCTTAACATATCATGACCTCATTCTGGAAAAAAAATTCAATCGTTTTTTATACCAATGAGTAAGTTCTTCAATACTTCATTCATTGTAACTTCTTGGTGAACTGAACAAAAAAACGAGGGGAGGGGGTGTTCAAATTGGACATGGTTAGTTAAAGCTGAATTTCCCTGTTACACGAGAAAATTAGACTTTTTTTTAAAAATACATTGTGTTCATCTGCTGAAATTTTTAAATGCATTTTTCATTCAATATGTTACACTTTACAGCACTATTCCATAATGACCTCTACATATATGTACTAAGCGTGCTAAAAAGCAACTTTAAATACTTAAAAACATATCTATACACATCTTAAAATATCTGACAAAATCAAAAATCTTAATGATAATCATGATAATGGATGAGTTTTATCATCTCATCACATAAATTTTATGCAAATAGCTTCAGTAAATTAGGTGAAGTACAGTTAATAACAATGATATACTTCAAATTGGAAATTTGTTTAACATTTTTCCAAATCTCATTTTTTTTTTAAGATTCCTATTCCCAGCTATGTATCAACTCATTCCCTTCCAATTTTTCAACCACTGGAAAATATTGCCACATTTCATTTTTTTTTTTAATTCAGTATGTATCTTGTAAGCATTCATTTAAAACAGCAATTCAAAACTGTAGATGATACTAAATAGAGACAATCTTTAAGCTTTTAGTATAGTATAATAAAATAAAAATCTGCAAATTATTCATCTTTTCTCTTAAATTTATGTGGGCAGGCCTTAATTGACCTTCATTGGTCCTATGCCCTCTCTGTTAGGGAGATGGCAAAATCTGGAAATATTGAAGAAACAATGTTTTCACTTCTGAGTAAAACTGTAAGATTTTGGTCTCATCTCCTACTTACATCTTTATATATTCTTTAACTTCAAGATCACTGAAAATTCTGTACAATACTTCCTACATTTTTTGGGGGGGGGGGGTGAATTTTTCTATCAGGACAGGTTCTTTTACCTGACCTGCATATACTTCTTCTTAACAATAGAAGCCCATGTGTGTGAAAAAAAAAACACAATCTGCATTGGAGGGTTTCTTTTTCCTTTCCATGGAAAAAAATAACTTCCCTCCTCCTCCTACACTATTTAGGGAGGATAAGCAAAAATAATTTCAAAATTTATACTTTGAAAAAGAGAAGGCAGTATTTCATACCAGGTTGTTAGAAACCTCTGGACTGAATTTTTTTTATTCAAGAAAAAAAAGTCAATTTCATTGGCAAGTTCAACAACATAAAATCCCTAGCATTACTGTGCTAACTACTAACTAAAATAATTCACAGGCAGAACTGGACAAATCAATATAAAAAAAAGGAAAAGAAGGGGAGATAGAAAAAAGGATTGTTTCTTTCAAAAGGATTTCTTTCCTTCAAAAATTATTTCTTTAAAGAAATTATTAAGTACAATGGAAAAAACAGACTTGCACTTGTATTATCCTATCTTCAATTTTCAAGTAAAATATAGTGCAGCATATTTTTAATCTGTGATATGTATGACCCCCCCCCCCCCCCCCAAAAAAAAAAAACAAAACAAAACAAAAAAAAGAAACAAACAAAAATATTGGAATAATTATACAATATATCAGTTTTGGACATATTCAGAGAGAGAGATAAATTGCTTTAGACCTCAGCTTGCAACATTAACATATTCTAAATTAAACAGCAGATTACTATAAAAAAAAAAAAAACTCTGAAAAAAACTAACACATGTACTATGAATATTGGGTAAATAGCCAGTGTCATGGCTAAGTAAATTCCATGCTGGTAAAATGCTGGCTTTGTGACCTGCTCTGAAGTTTCTCAAGGATGGGTAAGCATTGACGCTGTACTTCACACAGCCTGTGTTTTAATGCCATTAGGTCAACTCCATTAATACCGTCCAGCCAGGAAAAGGTGTCCTTGTATAAAATGGAAATGGTTTTTATTTCGTTCAAATGCAGATTCTCACTTGCATTCTGTACTTGTTCCTGCATAGAAATCAAATACGACTCGAGATAGTTTCTAATTTCTACTCTTTGACGTTCAATTTCATCCTCCTCTTGGTACTTCTTTGCTTCGTTCATCATTCTGTCTATTTCATCTGTACTCAGCTTGTCCTTTGAGACTGTGATCTGGTTCCATTTTCCTGTTTTCTTGTCTCTAGCAGTCACATCCACAATACCATTGGCATCAATGTCAAATGATATCTCTATTTGGGGAACACCACATAATGCTGGAGGAATGCCTTTCAGTTCAAACTTCCCTACACTGTTGTTGTCCCTAGTCATTGCACGTTCACCTTCAAATACTTGAATTGTCACCCCCTGCTGATTGTTGTAAAAAGTTGTAAATGTCTGTAATGCCCCTGCTGGAATTCTGGTATTTCTTTTAATAATGTTGTCCATAAATCCCCCAGCTGTCTCAATGCCCAGGGAATAAGGAGCCACGTCCACTAGAACAATGTCTTCAAGTGATTCACCTCTGTCTCCAACAAGGATGGCAGCCTGACATGCTGCACCATAGGCCACAGCTTCATCTATGTTCACAGATCTCTTTAATACTTCAACTCCCATAAAATCTTGGAGCATTTTTTGGATTTGTGGAATTCTTGTTGATCCCCCCACTAATACCACGTCGTCAATCTGGTATGTCTCTAAATTAGCATCCAGTAATGCTCTCTTCACCGGTTCCAGGGTTTGAAGGAACAAATCATTACAAAGTTTCTCAAAAGTTGCACGAGAAATCTTACTGTAAAAGTCAATGCCCTCAAAAAATGCATCCAACTCAATGCAGGTCTCTGTACTACTCGACAGTATCCTCTTAGCACGCTCACAGGCTATTTTGAGGCGTCTAAGTGAACGACTGTTATCCGTAATGTCCTTCCCATGCTTCAGCTTGAATTCTTCTATGAAATGATTCACCACGATGTGATCAAAGTCTTCACCTCCAAGATGCGTGTCTCCAGCAGTAGACAGGACCTCAAAAACAGATAAATTGTCAATGGTTAATATGGATACGTCTAACGTTCCCCCTCCTAAATCATAGACCAACACGTTTCTCTCACCTTTGTCGTTCTGCTCAAGTCCATATGCGAGGGCTGCAGCAGTGGGCTCATTCATGATGCGAAGAACGTGAAGACCTGCAATTGCACCTGCATCCCTGGTGGCCTCCCTTTGTGCATTATTGAAAAACGCGGGCACAGTTATTACAGCATTTTTAACTGTCTGTCCAAGATATGTTTCGGCAATCTTCTTCATTTTCACAAGGACCATGGAACTGATTTCTTCTGGTGTGAACCTCTTCATTTCTTCCTTGTACAACACTTCCACTTTAGGTTTTCCCTCGTCATTAACGACTCTGAACGGCCAGAGCTTCATGTCTTCCTGGACACTGTCATCGTTAAACTTGCGTCCGATCAATCTTTTCGCGTCAAAAACCGTATTTACAGCGTTCATAGTTACCTGACTTTTGGCTCCATCTCCAATGAGCCGACCTGTGTTTGAGAAAGCAACATAGCTTGGTGTTGTGCGATTCCCTTGATCATTTGCAATAATTTCCACTTTGCCGTTTTGAAAAACACCAACACACGAAAATGACGTTCCCAAATCAATTCCGACTGCTGGCGTTTTTCTTTTCTCCATTGAATATATGTACGTCTGTACAACCGTGCAGTTAGCTTCACCGAGACATCTTTAGGAAAAAAGAGTCCTCGCATGCATCTTTCGGTGTTTTCCGCCATGACTGTCGCTCTATATATATATACTTTGATGTGAGTTTACGCGACCTTGCCAGAAGTTTCGTCCATGTAAACAACTTTGCTACTCTGCACGCTTTCTTACACGTGAGTTGAACTTCGGATTCTTTCTAGAATTAATTAACATTTAAGAGGATTGCCGAATGATTTACAGATCTCATTAGCCTAGTTCCCGAGGCCTTCCGAGCATCGGAAGTTCTCGGGAACCAGCCATATCTCTCATTGAGATTGCATTCGAGTGTTTTCTAGTCTCTTCCTCGTTTCGCATTCTTTGTCTTTCGGAAATCTAGATTTTTCGTTGTTTACATACTTTATTTCTGACGTCATTCATTTTAACAAAAAATATATTTTGTAACATGACATTGTTTACGTTAAGTGTACGAAATTTAAAGTGAAACAATAATTATATTTATTTACATGTAATATTTAAAGAGACACATGAATCTCGGATTAATTAAAGATCTGTCCTGGAATCTATTTGTTTGTTTGTTTTTTAATATAGCTTCTTGGAAAGTTCACATTATCAGTTTTTTACTCTTATTTTAATAATTAAAATAAAACTGGCTGTTATTTATTTAATTTAATTTTTATTTATTGACAAAAACCAAATGTGGCGCAAGTCATGCATATAATATACAGGTTTTCTTATGTTTTAAAAATACTTCACATATAAAGTGAAATTTTTTTTGGTTGATTTGACATTTACATGTATTTGATTAATTTTAAACATTTCATTAATATAAATTTAATTTATGAAAACTAAATATGGATTTTTTTTTTCTGTAATTCCAAATCTTTTATGTCCTTCCAAAACTCATATATTCGTTTAGAACATGAATTAATTGTACATGGAAAATGAGTGGAACTCTAATATGTTAAAATTGAGGATTAGTGGAGGACCTCTGGGGATTTTGTCCCATTGTTTAATTCCAGTTCAGCCTCTCATGTGTAAGTTTTGAATAAAACTTGAATTGTAAACGAAAAAAATATCATTATGAATTAAAAAAAATGCAGTAAATTTGTATGTTTGTACTGGATAATAAATGTAGATAATTTTTTCTTGAGATCTTTTTTTTTTAAATAAGTAGAATATGATACGATAAGAAAGAAATAAATACCGACGTTACGAAGGAAAATCGTGTGAATAAGAAAACATATTTTCATATAATTTTTCTTATTAACACCATCCAGATAGGATAGCCAACGGACAAGACGTGAAATGAATGACTTTTTGATTTCTATTTAATCCCGCTACAAGAGCTTAAATTCACGGCGAATAAAGTTCATATTGTCGCATTATACTGATTACATCACATTGTCTCACAAACAACTGACCATGTGTTTTGAACTTTTGAAGAGTTTACTCCGAGTATACAAGCATGGACTCCAATGCTGTCCTGCTGTTTGCTTGTTACATGTATATAGTTATGTTACAAGGTAAGTGCATAATTATTTTTTTTTCAAACGTTTTCATTAATATATTTGAAATGAGGATAAATTTTGAATAGGAACTCAGGACGGGACAAGTTTCATATTTTTCAAATATTTTTTTGCATGCCAAAAGATCAATTATATCTGTTTATAGAATGTGTAGAGAAAAATATTTGAAGGCTTCCATTGAAATAGGATTTTGATATTTATAGTGGTATAGAAGGCCTTACACCCTTCCATCGATACCCCACACTGTTATGGTTTTCTGGTATAGGCAAATAGAGGGCCTAATTTTGAAAATCTGTCTTGAAACGCATAACTACAGTGTAGATAAATACACATATATATCAAGAAATGACAAATAAGTACACCTCATAAATTCACGCCCAGACTAAAATGTAATCATCACACTAGACTCGGAGGACACAGGCCCGTAGAACGTGGGGGGGGGGTCTCCACTTTTTTCTGAGTTACATGTAAGTACATGTATTTTGCTATAGTAAATTTTCCTTTAGATGCTGGTTGTCCCCCCCCCCCCTTTCCTTGTTGAAAGGTCGAGCACTGGCAAATTCCAGGATTCGGACAGTAAATTAGGCTTTTTTAAAATTTTGCTTGTCATATTTTTTTTGGAAGTTCTCCCCCTGCCCCCTCCCACTTTTGAAACCGTTGCTACGGGCCTGGGACATACATCATATGTAGGTAGTATTTACTATAGGCGGATCCAGGAATTTTTTTTTGGGGGGGGGGGGTTCCATTGAATGATTTCTTTCCCATTTTAAAAATGTGACTCAGAAATTTTCTGAAAAAAAATTCAGACTCTAAACATGCAACCATTACCTATTTTTTTTTTTGGGGGGGGGGGGGGGGTGTTAAACACCCGATTTCCCATGACTCTTCTTATCAATTTAAGAAAAGTCCTTGTTTTCCTGTTTCTTGGGAGAAGGGGTCCACAGCCATTATAATTTTTTAATGAATTTGATAAATAAAATCCCCAAAGGGAGGAGGGAGCTGAACTCAATCCTCCTCCGTTAGATCCGCTGCCGAATACATTCTGATATTCTTTATATTTTTTCTTTCCACTAAATGATTAATATTTTTCATTTGAATTGAGTTAACTATGGGCAGACAAAATTATAATTGTTGCGGGAAAATAACTTTTTTTTAATGTGTTACTTTTAATTTGATTTAAAAAAAAAAAAGAATTATATAGGAAAAAATAAATGATATTAATGCGGGGGTGCTTAAGACCTTCCATAAGTAACCTATCAATCCTTTTTAACACAAATATTTTTTTTTCGGGCTGAACTCGATCCTCCCCCGTTAGATCCACTGCTGAGTACATTCTAATATTCTTAATATATTTTTTTTCCACTAACATTTTTCATTTATATTGAGTTAACTATATTGGCAGACAATATTATAATTGTTGCAGGAAAATCATATATATATTTTTAAAATGTGTTACTTTTAATTTGATTTTTTTTTTAAAGAATTACATAGGAAAAAATAAATAATAATTAATAATGTGCTTAAGACATTCCATAGGTTACCTACCAATCTTTTTTGATACAAATGGGTTTTTTTTCTGTTCCAGCATCATCAGTAGAATGCAGTTACTACCACTCTTATTCCAACAACATCACAACATCTGAGTAAGTTATTTCAAAATTCATTGTGGAAAATAATTATGATGTCCCGATAGGACCATTTGCAAAAGTTTAACAACGCGTTAGCAACAACGCGACGGCGCGTCGTTTGCAACACGTCGTCGCGCTAACCCAACTTTAAACAACATGACGTCGCGCTAAGAAAACTTTAAACAATTCGAAGGCGTGTTGAGTAAAATTGTTTTAACGCGACGGTGTGTGTTTTCTGTTAGAGCGTATTTTATGTTAGCCTGTTGAGTAAAGTACGGTGTTTAAAATTATGCTAGTGTGATAGAGTGTTTCGTGGTACTTAGCGTGACGTCGCCTTATCGGGAACACTGCATGATTTAAACAAACATGTTGTGGATCTGCACTGCTAGAATATGATGAAAGGTTTTATATTAAACTATGGAAAGTCACAGGAAACTATTTAAATATTCAACCATTTTAAATTTCTTTCATCGGAACGATTTTAAATTGAAATACTGATTATTAAAAATTCATAATATTTGAATAAAAATTAGATCTTCGATCAACTCCTTCTTATGTGTCGGTATATGAGGATTCGTGTTGCGATAAAAGGAACGAAACAATCAGACGTCATAAATTATTCAATTTTCAATTTCATTAATTAAGAATACTCTATATAGACAGTTTTAAACTGATAATTTTCATGGTTTTGAATAAGATGTATTGTATATATTTTCCGCATATATTATCTTGATAATCTTTGGAAAGCGAATTCATTAATATAACTTATCTGGTGATACATGTATTTTTAGCCAGGAGGCCACAGTAGCCGGTATCATTCTGGGCGTCTTGTTCACCCTAGGAATCATGATATCTGTAGCGGTGTGTATCGCCTTATTCTGCTGTAAATCTAAGAACGGCAGTAACCGACTGGTCAGCCATAATGACATCAGAGACTCCTCTCCCACCACCGTCACTTTCGTCACCAATACCAGTAAGTCTACACCTTTAAACTATCAATGATTGTTACCGTTTAATTTTCTCAGAAACTAGTAGCAAGGTTCCATTCGATGATTTTGTAAAAGTTAAACATTAATCGAAATATTGAATATTGTGCTTCAAACATTTTAAACTCAAAATTGTAGGCATAATTTAAATCGTAGGCATAGTGATATATAGAAATTAATTCTGATGAACACAGCCATAATGATTTCGTGAACATTGTAGGTCCATCTAGCCCGGGACAATTTCCGGTCTCTGGTGTCCAGGGCCCCCCTCCTTATCGCTCCCTATTTCCGGGGTCGCCACCACAAGACATCATGCCACAACAGACGATGCCTAACTCACCACCACCTATGTATTCAGAAACATAATAAAAAGTGCAATAAACCATAAAAGTCGTCAGTTCTTTTTTGGCGGGGCGTATTAAGGGTATTATGGTCTGACATTTTCGTCCGTCTCAGTCCCTGTATCAGTTTCAAAAGAGTGGGGGGGGGGTGCAACTTCACAAATAATCTGAGAAGGCAAAAAAAAGTCCAAATCCTGGAATTAACCAGTGCTCAACCTTACAGCAACAAGTATGGGGGGGCAGCATTTAAATATAGCAAAATACTAGTCTATACTCGGAAAAAGTGCCCCCTTCCGTCTGTCATTCATTATATAATTTTCAGTACAGTATATAAACATAAAAAAATTATTTCACTCACGAATTGAACAAGACCGTAGCAACGGTTTCACAAGTGGGGGGGGGGGTTAACCTCCCAAAATATCTGACAAGCGAAAGAAAAAAACAACTAAACTTTCCAAACTCGGAAATCCTATTGGGGGGGGGGGGGTTCTCGGCTTTTCGGAACATTTTTTTTTCAAATGCTGGCCAACCTTACAGTAATCTATGTCAAGCCCGTTGCAACGGTTTCAAAAGTGTGTGTGTGGGGGGGGGGGGGGGGCTTACTTCCTAAAAAATAAATTTACCAAAAGTGGGGGGGGGGGTCCCAACAATTATCTGACAAGCAAAAAAAAGAAGCTAATTTACTGTCCAAATCCTCAAATTTGCCAGTGCTCGACCTTACAACACCAAAAAGTGGGGGGACCAACATCTAAAGGAAAATTTACTAAAGCAAAATACTTTACTCAGAAAAAAGTGGGGGCCTGCACCCTCCCCGCGTTCTACGTGCCTGTATGTACAATAGATAAGAGCTATCCTGAGCTCTGCCCTGGGCCTCCTCCAGGGCTTTGTCCTGGACCCACTTAAGGCCGCCTTCTAAAGAATTCTGAATTCGCCACCGGTGTAAACGTTAATTTTTGAACAAGTCAAAAATCCAACCAGGTACCGGATTTTGTAAGTTCATGTCAGTCAGGTTTTCAATTTAGTGTCATAAACGCGTTTCCAGTGTAAATGTAGAACGAACCAAATTATTTAGCAAATACATGTACCTAGGCAGTAAAGGGATTTAGGATGCATTAAATGATTATGTTAACTTTTAATTTAGCAAGGATGTGACCAGGTAAGTTTTTTAACTTAACATGCTTAATACTTGCAAATGTGTTTCACATATATATATTTTTGCATTAATTGTAAAAATAATCTTGCAATAAACGTTGTACCTTCCTTGCTTTGGTTATAAATTATGAATGGGTTTGAAATAGGAATCGTTTGACGATGGTGATTTTTTTCACATGACTTCTAGAAAAAAAAAAACGTTGATTTTTCAGATTAATTGGTTTCAAACATACTTCCTAAATGTTATCCAACCTTTTATCAAAAGTTCTTCGGCGACAGGTCCATCATTATAAGAGTAGAAAACAGTTGTGCAAGATGTCATTTAGTTCTAGTCAATCAGAACCAGGAAGTCCTCTGATAGGTGTATGTCAACTGACATGTACAGCAGACAAAACGCAGAATTTCCAGATGGCAGAATCACTAATTAAAAGGGCTTCAAGCAGGGGAGCAAAGGCAAGTACACTGTATACAATCTCGACAATCTAAGAACCATAATATACCATATTCATGTCAGTGAACACTTTCTTCTTTCTTTCTTTTTGATATGTAAGTGGATGGGTGTGCAATGTATATGAGTAAAATTACAAACTTTTCTGAGAGCTGAACTTGTCGATTAATTTATGTCAAGTAAGTTAAAATGTGCTATAATTTTGTTAAAGTAATTCTACAGAAAATTTCAAAAAAGGGGGGGGGGGTCCCATTATTTACAGACACAGAGGTGTGTACTTTACATGTACACTTACAAGTACACTAGTGTACATGTACACTTACTTGTGACATTACAATGAACTGAGGACTGATAGACCATGCACATTTTCATGTTATTTTAAAAGTGTAAGCCAAATTACAATTAAATTTAATTACAGTCAACCCTTGTTATCTCGAACTCAACAGGTTCAAGATTAAACTTCCAGATATCCAATGATTCAAGATAACCGGGGTTAAAAATATTAAAAAAAAAATAAGTGGTTGGGACTGCCAACTCATTTCAGCATATCCCTGGTATTTGAGATATCAGTGTTTGAGATAACAATCTTCAACTTTATGTCTTGTTATTTTGTTTGTTTTGTTTTGTTTTGTTTTGTTTTTTTTTGTGTGTGTTTTTTGTTTTTGTTTGTTTGTTTGTTTGTTTTTTGAAGCTACTTGTACATTAGTGTTATGTTATTCAGTAAAATTGTTCCTGATAATTGCAATGAAAATTAATGTATTTAACACTCAAATTTGAGTCTGAAACATTGACATCTTGAAACCAAGACCTGTAGAATATTTTATTTTATCAGAGTTTAAATTTGTTTATGCCAACAGTAAAGAAGAATAAATATTAATGTTATTGAATAAAAGGATTGAAAATTATGTAAAAAAAATTTTTTTTCTCCTTTGATAATTAAAATCTTTGTTTCCAGATGATTTTCCTGCCTGAGGCAGCAGACTACATCGGAGAGACTAAATCTCAGAGCATTGAGTTGGCGGAAACTTTGGAGGGAGAAACCATATCCAGATACAAAGACCTCGCCAGACAGGAGTCAGTCTGGTTGTCTTTGGGGGGATTTCACCAGAGGGTAGGATCACAATAGAGCTTCATTCACCTACTTTATTCAGATAATTCCACTCAAAAAGAACAATGTTGATAAAAATTAGATAATTAAGTATTTCAATAATAATCTGACTTTATTTCAAGATAAAAGCCTATGAGTATATCATTATTTGACAAATCAAAGGTTGCATGCTGTGATGGTTTTCTTTGAAATTTTCTTCAGAGTGAGGAAGAAAAGGACAGCAGGGTTTTAAACACACATGTGATAATTGATAGTCAAGGTCAAGTCAAGGACACTTACAGTAAGACACACTTGTTTGACCTTGACCTAGTGGGCCGTGTCAGACTGTGTGAGAGTGATTATACTATTCCAGGGAAAAGAGTTACGCCCCCTGTTCAAACACCTGTAGGAAATGTTGGAATGGAAATTGTATCTTTTGAAAGCGATCTAGATACCAGTAAGTCATTGTATCAGTATAATGATAGTTGACTCACATAACTTTTTTCCCAATAATTTTATAACTGTACAGTTCAAAGAAACCACCTTAAATGAATTATGGGTTTATTTTGCAGTTTAAGTGCCAGAGTTATTGCACTAATTTTGAAAGAATTTTTATCTATTCACATCAAAGTTTGATTATCCTTAACTGTCAGTGTTATGACTTGAGGTTTCCCGAGTTGTCATTAGTTTTAGCCCAGCAGGGAGCAGACATCTTGACCTTTCCCTCAGCCTTCACAGTGACCACTGGAATGGCACATTGGGAGGTTAGTATGCTGGATAATCCCTAAAAATACCAGAATAGACATTGAACATATAGCTTAGAGGGACATAGGGATTGATAGTATGTGATAGGTGATTTGGAGATAGTGAAAGGGAGGGATAATATTGAATGTAGGGTTATATTGGAAGACAGGGAAAAAATAAAGTTAAAATATGTCATTATTATGTTGTCATTTGTCAAATTTCCTTCCTTAGGTGTTGCTTCGGAGTCGTGCAATAGAAACCCAGTGTTATGTAGTGGCAGCAGCTCAGTCTGGGAAACACAACAACAAGCGGTCATCTTATGGCCATTCCATGGTTAGGATTGTGTGCAGAAGTTTTTACTCCCTTTAAACTAAGCCATATAAAAATAAAATAAAGTGCTAATAATTGATGCTACCGTTTAATTTTATCTTTTGGGCAAAGATTGGAAAAATAGCAAATTTATTCTAATAAATGAATACCAGATATTTGGTGATTTTCTATAGAGTTTAGAAATCCTTGTCACTGATAGGTAATCGATCCTTGGGGCACTGTTGTAGCTCAGTGCAGTGATGGGGTGGACGTCTGTTTTGCTGAAATCAATTTGGATTACATCCGAAAAATCCGAGAGGAGATGCCAGTGATGACACACAGGAGGCCAGATTTATATGGAGTTTTACAATCTTACAGCAAAGGTTTGGCTCAATGTTAGTCTGTTCGGGATCATTTTGTAAGTAAGTAAGGAGGAGTAACTCTTTCACATGAATTGACAGATCACATCTTCAAAAAACTTGTATTAAGATGTTCAGTCAATTTAGATGTCTTAAAAACTTTTGTAAAACCTTTTTTTTTATCTACAAAATGTCCTTTTGTTTCCTCTTTGATGCTTTAATACAGACTTGTTTTGTAGGAAATATAGATGAGGTGCCTCACTACCAATTTGGTCAGCATTCTGTGGGATGTGGACAAGTATTCTATAAGACTGCTCTAAGCCTGGCATTTGTCAACATTAAACCTGTGCTTCCTGGTCATATCCTCCAGATAAATGTCTGAAGTGGTACTAGTTTAATTTTATAGGAACACCAAAGAGGAAATAAGAGATTATCCAGATGTTTCATTCTTTTTATTTTTTTAAATTTTATGTTAGAAGAAAAGTGACAATTAATTACTTTTAATTTATTTCAATGAGTATATTAAAATAATTTAGATCATATAAGATGTAGTGATATTGCTGCAAAATTGGAGAATTATAAAATATTACACTAATTTATCTTTGTATACAAGTGAATAAGTTCCTTGACTTCAGTGCATATGTCCTTATATCTTCCCTCCGTCCTGCCAAACGTTTTAGTGACCTCACACAGTCTGAGTTAGCAGATCTGTCATTGTGTGTTCAGACAGTAAGCAGAGTTGTAGAGAAACACTTTAATGGAACATCTCTCACCATCGCTGTACAGGACGGGGCAGATGCCGGGCAGTCTGTAGAGGTAGCCATTTAATTTGACAGACTTTTATTAGTTCTATACTTATTTGCCCTACATTAAAACTTCGTTATAGGGAAGTCCTTGGGACCTGTGAATTCACTTTCAAAATATAAATGTATTCCTTTTTCTGATAAATGAATACTCTGGCTCAAAAAAAAAGATGAAATTTTTTTTCACATGATCATTCATCTTGGTAATGCACGAAATGTTTAGAATTTAAGGCTATTTTCATTGCTCCATATACTTGTAACCACGTAACATGACCATTTTGATATTTTTTCATTCTGCTGCAGCATGTACATGTGCATATCTTGCCGAGGAAACCAGCAGATATTCCAAATAATGATGATATCTACAGAGAGGTGAACATTATATTTATTCCTTATTTCCTTATTAAGAATAACCCTTAATATTGAAAAAAAAAAATTGATCGATACATTCATATTAACCACATTTGGAGTACATTAATATCACTTTGGCTAACGTCATAGCACTCAGTAGGGCAGAGTAACCTGAACATCTCAATGTGGAAAATTCTTATGGTTTGTAAGTTTTGTATGAGAATCTTTAATTGAGATATTTAAGCTTATTTTAACCTCATTAAATGGTTAAACAGTAGGAATTTGTGCCAGTCCAAAGGCATCCATGGGGCCATTGTTGATCATGCTTGTACAGTTATACATGCATTATTCCATAATTTTTCATTTATACGAAAAATCAAAATGAACTCCATTTTATACAGAAGAATGTGATATGTCGAAAGAATTTAGACCTAGAATTCATTTCCCCATTATATACCTTATAGGGATGTTTTAATACTAAAATTGCGCCGTTGCATGTAAGTACATTATGTATCATTGCAAGTAAGTACATTATGTATTGTATGCAAAAAAAGATAACTTTAATAAGTCTATTGTTAATGTAAATTAAAAATTTTATTTTTTGTTTTTTTTTGGTGTGTTTTTTCTATGTTTTTTTTTTCATGAATCAGTATTCAATCTAACTTGAAACTCATTTGCAAGATGAACTTCCTCCCTCCTGTATATGAATCTGATTAAACCCACTGCCACGGTAATTCATGATTTGACCTGTTTTTATATTGAATTATTGTTTCTCTTGTTTTCTTTTTCCCAAATCTTAGGTGCCTGAAGCACTTTCCTATTAAGCAGTGCAAAATTACTGTATGTGTACTATGTGTACTTCAAAGAAGCGGGCTTCAAATTTTAGCGGCTTTGGCGCAGACAATGATGCGCTAATTCATGAATTCATGCGCTAAGAAATCATTTATAAATACAATATATGGCACAGACATGTATAGCACTAATTCATGATTTCGCCAACAACACCATACCCAGTGATTGCGCTAAATTTTGAATATGCCAATTTATGTACGCATACAGTATGCTACTGGTTTGCAATGTCATGGAACTCAATGACTGCCCAAAAAGTTGCACCAAAATTAATGGCACATCTTTGAACAAGCAAAACGTGAAAGTTTACACCATGCAGGTAAAGAAACCTGCTCTACAGTAATATGAAATAATAATACATATACATTTGAATTTTTTTTTTTAGCTGGCTGATCACGATAAAGATATGACCTCAAACCTTCGATCAGAGGAGGAAATGAACCGTGAAGCTGCCGCTCTGAGGCCCTACTTCCTATAGAAAAACAAGGAAAAAGACTTTTACGAATGACTGACAGTGGCTCTTTATAAGCAGATTTTACTTTAATGTTTACTGGCTTGTAGTAATCAGAGACCAAAAGTATTCTGCAAAGCAGATAATATTTTATATGATATTGTTCCACTGATCTGTGTTCACACAGATAGATGTACAGGTACTCATAATTTATGCAGTTAATGAACATATAATGAATTTAAAAATGCAGCAAGACTGTTGAAATATGTCACATTTTAATGAAAGATATGGTCAGTGTATTGAGGGTTATTTTGTTATATTATTTTGGCCCCGTTTACACTTGCAAAAAGCTCTTCATAAATCTACCCAGACATAGTTGTGTAAAGAGATTATTCTGTCTTCATTGAATTGCCCCAGTTTAGATTTGCCCACTTATGACGAAGGCAAAGGGAGCAAAAATTAAACGTGTGCCTACTTGTGATAAAAAATCAGGAATGTACACATCTCCTCATGATTTTCCTTTATTCCTCAGTTTAGCCCAGAAGGACTGAGATAACTCATAATTAAGTAGAGCATGTCAAGATATTTCATATTCCATGTTTCTAGATCATCATGCTCTTCTATAGCATTTTTGTGAATTGAAAAAGTGATGCAGTAAGAAAGATAACTCCTGCACTATCATAATGTTTTTCTGATGATTTTAAGGATCAAGAATTTGTAGGAAGTAGAGTAACTCCACTCCCAACAATGCTGGATTGATCTAGAATCATCTGATCATTTATAGTAGTGAGGCACATTTTTGTGAAAACATTTTCATTTGTTAATTCACATTTTTGAGTAACTGTGCCGACAAAAGAGAAACACAGTCTGAAGGATAAGATTTTGGACATTGGTCACAAAGTATTTAATGTCACAGTAATAGATTGATATACAGTAACTGTTGTACAGTTTTTATTAAAATTAGGAGGATTCTCAATTTTTCAAGACAAGGCACATTTCCCAGACACAGGCATAATGGAAAAGATCTTTTTCCTGAATCCTTAAATGATACAGTTGAACTTCTGTATCTTGAACATCGATATCTTGAATATCATAGATATGTTGAATTGAGTTGGAGGTCCTTACCACTTCTTCTCTCTATATATTTTAACCTCAATATCTCAAACTCTTGGATTTCTCTCAGTTTTTTCTCATTGAGTTTGAGATAACGAGGTTTGATTTTCCATGTTCTAATCTGTTTTTAGGTTACTTGAGTCACTCTGGTGTTTTTGTGTCTATATATGATTATGCATTATATGTCATTCCTTGATCATAAACTATTGAACATTATCAAGTCCTTCTCTGGAATGGCTGAGCCAGTTTTACTCAATTTTGGTATCTAGCAGGTATGTGTAAAGAGAAACAAAAAATTGAAAATTCATGGTCTGTGCCTCCCTGTGGACTGATGGTTGTGTCCAAAACCATCAAAATTAATGAAATCTTCATTTACCCTAGGACATCAAGCAGTCAAACTGTTAGCATAGTTGTAATAAGCAATGAACCCACTAACAAAATTCTGAAATTTTTGGCCCTTAAGCTCAGGATTCGGGCTTCAGAGTGGGCATAAGTTGGTCATACATTGAAAATACATTACACCCTAAAATCTTCTTAACTCATGGACATCTGACAGAAAATTGATCAACGCTAATATAAGACCTCAACAGAATGTGTGAAAGTCATGACATCTGGCTAATGTTCAGGCATCAGGGCAGAGCTAGGTTTGGTCATTTATGTCTCTGTATAAAATATATATATATATATATACTAGTATTGAAAGTATATTGCATCTTTGAAAATCTCTATCATTACTAATGAACAGGTAGCTAATTGTTTGCATGATTATAAAGAGCAGCTAGCCATCTACTAAAATTATAAAATTCATGTCCATTGGGTCCAGGGATTTGCCCCAGAGTAAAGTTGTTGATCCCTGATCATCCTATTTATCTTGGTATTGAGCAACATATCTTCACCTATTAATTTGTTTTATCATTTAGTCATTAAATTGCATTCCATAAACCCTGAAACAGGATTGGATTACTAGTATACCCAGGTGACCATTAAGGCCCATGGACCTCTGGTTTTAAATCTCGAAGTATTTTTCTGAATGAAAAAGGCGAAGATAACAAACTGTGATCAATCTCATATATCCTATAAACAATACGGAAGCTGAACAGGGGAAAACACGGTCTTCTGGAAACATCAGAGTGGGGAACAGGGGCTTGGAGTAAGTATCCCCTGTCGACCGGTTACACCCTTTGCGAACCCTATGTAAACAGGGTAATCCGTATTGAAAATTACCATAAAAACAATGACTAAGAATTGGTATGAAAAATCTCCACCAAAATACAAACCAAGGACAGGTTGTATTTGCAGGCAAGGTCATGAAAATGACCAACAAAATCCGAAATGCTGACTTAAACGAAGATTGTAGAAAGCGTTATAACATCAACTTATTTGTCAGTAGGCAACCTCGGTTAAAAAATATTCTTATATCTGGAACACGTTCTTTTCGTACCGAATTAGTTTGGAGATAATAGAATATTACTACAAATATAGGGAAGTTAAGGGTGGAAAAGTTGAAGTCATCCTGTTAGTTTGCATCTATCATTTGCAGTCAGTAAAAATCTGAATATGAAGCATATGTGGCAGACTTTATGAATTCTTGGAATTCATTGGGATATATTTGAGTCAACAAAGAAATGAAATTTAAGCATTGTATATTGATAATGCTGTCCCTTCTGACAGATTTTATTTTATCAGATAAAAACGGCAATATGTCATATTGCAGAGTTAATTTGATAAAATAAAATCTGTCAGAAAGGAGAAAACGTTAATTGTCGATATATCTTAATGTCAAATTGAAGGCCACAGCCAAAATTTTCTTCTTTCTTTTTCTTATGTAGACGTTTTTGAATAAATTCTGCTCCATAAGAATATAAAAGGGTCGGGATTTTCTGTAAACGTTCTCATTTTAGCGCCTTTTGCCGTTGCTTCTTGCCTGCTAATTTATGTACACTCGCTAATGCATGATAAAAACTTGTACATGTCATTGTTAAAAGTAGTGCGCTAATTTATGATTGCACTCATCCGTTGGAGAGGACGTTTGCAAAGGAGAGGACTTTGAGAGCGCTAATTTATGTATGTTTACTGTAATTTACTGTAATAAATAGCTCAATTATAGTGCCAACCAAAATTTCAACATATTGTTGAAAGACATGTTTCCACAGACTACATAGATATTGTTAAGAACTCCATCATCTTTTTAATATCAACTTCCGAGTACTAATAATGTGTACTTGTGTGTGGAATCAGAATGCGCTTCAACAAAGCAAATTTGTACATGACAAATCACAAGACATGCATTTTTTTATTGAAGAAATCATTTGAATCAAAAAGGGATACTTCGATCTGTTAAAATCAAATCAATAAAGTGGGTGATAAAAAAAATTGCCTTTGAACGCTGCATCAGATGAAAGACCCTGTAGCTCCGACGTATCTTCAGTTTTATGCTTCGTCCATAAACATTTCCATACTACTAATCTTTTCACTTGATTTACTTCAAAGTACATTGTAGATATAAAAACTGTCTTTTAGTGGATTAATAACCCGTTCCATCGAGACCAAGTTCTAACTTGATTCCGCGAAACGAGCATAGCAATATTTTAATGAGGGTTTTACAGAAAGAAAATCTTGGGCATTAAACATGGCTCTGATTAAAAATAATTTGATAGGCTTGTCAGATGGTAATTTTGGTATTTATTACCAACCAGTAAAACCAAATCTACAATATAACAGAAATTCAAATTAGAAAATATTTTTTATATATATTTTAGATAATTGTCTTGTCTTATAAAAGAAGTGTGTACACATGTACTATATGTCCTATCTGTAGGTAAGTGGAGAGGCGGCGAAGTAGTTGGACACGTGAAGATGTTGGTCAGACGATAACAACTTCACACAGACACTGATTTAATGACCTGACCCATATTCAGCGACCTTAACTGTTTCACTTTACCTTGACTACCATAACCACTCATATATTTTCTTGTTACAAAATCGTAAAATTTAGCGACTTTAAATCTGAATTCAAGGAATTAAACGCATTTTATTATAAGCTAATAAACAATTAGGTTTTATTAGCTCAAGTGAGCTTTTCCGATCACATTTGGTCCGTCAGACCGTCCGTCTGTAAACTTTTAACATTTTCGACTTCTTCTCCAAAACCACTGGGCCAATTTTAACCAAACTTGCCATAAAGCATCCTTGGGTAAAGGGAATTCAAGTTTGTTCAAATACAGTGCCACGTCCTCTTTCAAGGGGAGATAATTAAGAATTATTGAAGATTTTGGTGGTGTCATTAAAAATCTTCCTCTCAAGAACCATTGGGCCAGAAAAGTTGAATCTTAAGTGAAACCTTCTTTACATAGTATAGATTTAAGTTTGTTCAAATTATGATCCCCGGGGGAAGGGTGGGGCCACAATAGGGGATCAAATTTTTACATAGGAATATATAGAAAAAAAAACTTTTGAAAATATTCTTCTCAAGAACAACGGTTTTAAAGTCACAATTACTCATATTGATATGGAATCCTCAGGTAGTGTAGATTCAAGTTTGTTCAAATCTTGACCCCTTGGGATAGGGTGGGGCCACAGTAGGGGATCAAAGTTTTACATAGGAATATATTGGAAAAATCTTTAAAAATCTCTTTCTGAAAAACAAAGCCACAAGTAGCCATATTGATATGGAATCATCCTGAGGTAGTGTAGATTCAAGCACGTTCAAATCTTGACCCCTGGGGGTAGGGTGGGGCCACAATGGGGGATCAAAGTTTTACATAGGAATATATAGGGAAAAACTTTTAAAATCTTCTACTCAAGAACAACAAAGCCACTATTAGTCATATTGATATGGAATCATCCTCAGGTAGTGTAGAATCAAGTTTGTTCAAATCATGACCCATGGGTGTAGGGTGGAGTCACAGTGGGGAATTAAAGTTTTACATAGGAATATATAAGAAAAATCTTTTAAAATCTTCTTCTCGAGAACAAGAAAGCCACAATTAGTCATATTGATATGGAAGCATCCAAAAGTATTGTATATTCTAGTTTGTTGAAGTCATCCTCCCAGTAGTAGGGCAGTAGTAGGGTGGGGCCATAATGGGGGATTAAAGTTTTACAAATAAACATACATGTGTATTGGAAATATCTTTAACAAGCTTCTTCTCAAGAACAAGAAAGCCATGATTAGTCATATTGGTATTGAAGCATCCCCAGGTAGTGTAGATTCAAGTTTGTTCAAATCATGACCCCCCCCCCCCCCATGGGTAGGGTGGCAGACATCTTTAAAATTTTGTTTTCAAGAACAGCAAAGACATGATTAGTCATATGAATACAGAAGCATCCTCAGATAGTTTAGATTCAGTTTCGTTCAAAACATGGCACCTGGCGGTAGGGTCTGGCTAGAACAGGCAATCAAAGCTTTACATAAGAATATATAGGAGAAGAAATCTGTTGATAAAGAACACCAGGGCCATATTGACTTAGGTGAACGTTGTTTCCCATGGGCCTCTTGTTAAGATACACATTCAGTCATATTTTCCTGTTCTCTGGTCGTTATAATTATATAGATACAAAACACGAAAAGCTTAAACAAAATACCTTTATTAATGTAGTGAGTAGCTATTTACATAATGATAATCAAGATGTGATGATTAGTAATAGAAAAATCCTATCTAATTCCCAGTTACGGCTGGAACCTATAACCAGATCCATTGCTATTATATTTTGGCGGGATAAGGACTGCGTCGATAATGTGGATGACGCCATTTGTTACTGCTTGGTCTGCTCGAACTACTTTGGCACTGTTGACTTTAACACCTACAAATGTATTAAAGATATGTCACTCGTCAGCTTTTGAGAAAATTTTGGTCAGAACCACTCATTTCTAAATTATTTATTACAATTTAATTTTTTGAATATGAATGTTCATTTAATTTAATGTAGTCATTATTTACCTTCTCCTACTTCAATGTTGACGCTTTTACCCTCGACAGTTGGAACAGCCCCGGAAGTGAGTCCTGCACTGAAATAGGTTCCGCTAACCACGTGATAGGTTAGTACGTCTGCAAGAAAGGTAACCGACTCGTTAAGATGCCCAAAGAGATCGAGTTGTGAATGTTTGAAAATTTATTTACAATGTTTTGCATTTTGTGTGTGGACTCTACCTGTTAGAGCTGTTTTGTTCTTAAGAAGGTTGTCCAATGTTCCTGGGGGAAGGGCAGCAAAAGCTTTGTCTGTTGGTGCGAATACGGTAAATGGTCCAGGGCCTGTGTAAATAGGTAAACGCCAGTAATTATGATCTTAACACAAACTCTTTCTTGGAAAATTCAGAATTTTGAACAAACTTTGAAAAATGGAGATGCATACCTGAAAGTGTGTCGACAAGCCCAGCTGCCACAACCGCCTTCACCAATGTTCCTAATTCGCTCTCTCTTTGAGCAGTTTTCACTACATCCATTACAGGAATGGGGAACTCCACACGGTTAATGACGTGAATGACGCCATTAGTAGCATTCTGGTCGACCATCACTATTGGACTTCCGTCTGCTGTAACAACCTAAAATATTTTGTCAAGCACAATAAATAACCTATGAAAAGCAAGTTTAAAACCATTTGGTGCGAGGATTATCACTGTTTTAATCTGCAACAAGCATAAAGGTGTCAAAGCTAACATAAAGACATACCTTGCCGTTTTGGTAAATGTTGATTCTACAGTTCAGTTTAGGGTCTAATGTTGGAACCACGAGGTCATTCTTTAACTGGCTAGAGTAAGTCTTTCCACTGAGAACGTGGTATTTTAAGACAGCTACGAGGGCTTCCTTGTTTTTCTGTAAATACTCTACAACTCTTTTTGGAAGTTTGGCAAAAGCGTCATTGGTAGGGGCAAATACAGTAAAGGGACCTGAAAAACCAACAGACAACTGGAAGGTATCGAATATAATATGTATACGGATCGAGTTTCCCTTATATATATTGTAAAGTGAATGATAAATATGACATGTTTTATCCAATAGAGACATACTTATAATTGAACGATGCTACTCGACAAAAAAATTAAGTAAAATGTCATTGTAACCTTAACCTGACGCTTGTTTTCCGGGTTTACTAAATTCTGGTAGTCCATTGATGCTAAGTTACTTACCAATCGTAACCAAATTCAAGTCAAATAATTACCTCCGTTAGCCAAAGTGTCTGCAAGACCAGCATCCGTTGCAAATTTCAACAGGGTGGTTGCACCAAGCTTCTGTGCAACCTGCACGATGTTGCCTTCTTGGCATACGGCAAAGCCGACCAAACAAAACACTAGGGTGGCTCTAATCATTCTGCTGACTGTGTGTATCTAACGTCTTGACCACAATCTTACTGCCTTTTATACAAATCTTGTCACGTGTATCAATATGCTGAAGATAAAGACGTTATACAATATTTATTTCTTGGTCACCTGTTAAAAGTCTTGTGACAGAAGTGACCTTTAGGATTTTTCAGTGACATGAAAGAGAGCGGGAAGGAAAATGCCACCAAAATGAGTACCATAGGAACTATTATGATGATAAATGTCCATTTGTCAAGAAACAATAAAACATAGTTTTTTTTGGTGTTGCTTCCAGAGGATACACAATTTTTTAGTGCAAAATTTCTATTTGTCAAACTGCAACTAAATGCATATTCCGAAATATTATAAATGCGTGTTATCTACGATAATTTCTCAGCCTTTCTGGTGTCAGCACAAGGTGTATGGTTTTGATATGATTCTGCAAAATTTTTTTTTTTCAGTTTTAACCTTTTATTCGTTGACAAAAATCACTAAAGAGATCTAAATCAAACTCTCCTTGACGTATGTATGCACGCACAATAATTTTCAATCGTGAGAGCATATTACAGCTCAGATCACACATTTTCCTAGTTTAAGACAAGTATAGATGTATAAAAGACCAAAAGAAAAGAAAAGAAAACAGCTAAATAAATGAGTGTTTTTATTGACCAAATTAACGAGAATTTAATTGCACATATATCTTGCAATCTCTTGATGCTGGTGATGCTTTTATTTATTATTTTCACATAATCAGTAGTTCTATGGTAGAATATCTCTTTCAACCAAGACAATGGTAAATCCTTTGTTGTGGACAGCAAACTATTATGATGCTTATTAAATAAATGTGGATTCTAAAGATTGCCCTTAGTACAAGGGATTCTAAAGACAATTGCAATTTTCATCGCGTCCTTAATACAGCTTTACATAAGTAGTTATGGTCTCCAAAATTGTTTTGTTTTTTTTTTAATTAAAAATTAAATTTTGATGACACAGTAAAACAAGGAGGTTCAAACGTTCTAACTCTTCACATAAGTTGACACGTGAGGACAACAGTGATAACGCCTTGACCCAGACATTTCTTCACATATATCCTCTGCTGGTCTAACCTTCGCCGGCATGTATTATCTGAAGACTATAATAACATTGCATGTTCCCTTATCTCTGTCAACAAAGCTGAAAGCTCCGTTTTGGATTATCTCTTTTCGTCCTCGCGGTATCTCATAATACTTATGGTAAAAGTGGTCGAACTTAATTGAATTAAATTAAGAAGATGAAAACTTGTGGCGACAATTCGACATTTAGACACATCGCCAACATTTTATCAATTTGCAGAATCACTTTTATTCATATATGGATTCGATATATCCCATTGAACTCAAAGTAAAAGAACCACACACACAAAAGTCTGCCTTTCCGTGTCATATTTGATTGTTTTACCGACTGAAGACGTTAATGGCCGACAAAGAAATACATGTAAACTTTATGACAAACAGACTTCAGCTTTTAAGTTCCCTCATATATGTAGTAATATTCCACTTTTACCTGCATATTGTGTTTATGAATCCAAACTACTTCGCTACTCATGAGGATCAAATTTCAAACCAAATATGCTATTGACAAATAAGTGGATGTTACATGCTTTTCTACAGTCTTGTTTAGACTCAGCATTTCGACAGTTCTGTGATCTTTATAATGAACTTTTTTTGCAAATACAACATGTCGATAGGTATTTTGACAGACATGTTTCATACCAATTGTTATGCCATTGTTTTTATTCTATTTTGAGTACGGATTACTCTCATTTACATGATCATTGCAGAGGGCTCACGGCGGGTGTGACCGGTCGACAGAGGATGCTTACTCCTCCTACGCACCTGATCCCTCCTCTAGTTTATTTGGCAGAGAGTACAGTCGTGACTAATTATTGACAATAATGGAGTGTTAATATAAAACAAGTTAACAAAGTATTCTGAGAGTATTGCTTAATTCATAGCAAGTCCTTTGGCAATTCTCTATAGTACCTTTCCCCCTATAGTACCTCTCCCGGGAAAGCATACTTGTACTATAGATTTGATTTTCTTCCAAAGCAAGGTTTCACCCTCGTGATTTTGGTTTAAATTTTTAAAGAAAAAAATGTTTACAAAAGTAAATCAGCTTTAATTGATAAAATATTTATTATGAATACCGTTACACCTGTGTGTAAAAAAAATTGTGGTGCCTAGTATATACTATATGTACTACTAGTATACTTGTACATAATTCTATTACCGTACTGGGATGAAGGGTGAAATCTACTACATTAATGAATTTTCCCATTACAAAGCCAGCTTTCTGTGAGAAGATCTACTACTTATAGCCAGATTTCCAATGGGAAAAATTATGTAGTCGATTTTTTGGTGAAAGATGGCTAAGTGGCTAGGCTACTATAAAACACCGGTATGTGTCATTAAATATCAGAGACGGGCTTGATCTGTAGCTCATCAAGATAGACTAGCAGGCGAAAAATTAGCTCTATATGCTGTAATTGATATTGGACAGAAGGACAGACATACGGATAGGAAACCTATATCTTCCTCTCTAGTTTTACCGATAAAGGACTCCTAAGTAATAAGAATGAACCAGAGGAGCCAAAAAAAAAAACAACACTTGTTCATTTAAGCTGAAGTATAACAAGCAAATTCAGAGAATTATGGTCCCCCGCTTTCGGGGGTCTTACTGGTTGGGGTGCAATGGTCTATGGCATATTGCACCCGTCTTTTCTTGCCTGACTTGTCTGTCCATCATGCAAAACAAATGTTTTATATTTTGGAATCGATACAACACATGGAATTCTTGAAAGTCTAACTGGTCCAGGTCATAAGATCAAAAATCACAGTACATTCCAAAATTCTTTGTCTCGACACACATGGGACAAAAATAGGAAAGGCCCTTATCTTCTGGTGCAGAAGAACGGCCAACATTAAAATTTTTGAAAATTTTGAGGTCAAAGTCATGAAGTCAAATTTCATCACATACATGTACTGGGAAAGGTCTTGTCACAGGTAATGCATATGTAAATATCTGAAAGCCTTCACTCTTTAGGTACAGAATCTATATCCAAAGTTTATTTTTTTTTAAATAGGAAAAACTTTTTAAAAAAATTGGTTTACTAAAGATCAAGGTCATGAAGTAAAAAAAAAATCACAGTACACCCAGAAAGGTTTTGTTAAAGGAAATGCACAATTCGTGTGACAATGAAAGCCCTATTTTCTCTCATTCATAAGTTATGATCAATGTTAAGATTTTTGAAAAGTAGGTCAAATTTCAAGATAAGGTCAAGAATCAGTCTACCTGCACATGTGAAATCGGGTGTACATGTACTATCTTTCTCATTCAAAACTTATAACTAGTGTTCAAAGTTTTGAAAAGTGGGTCAAACTTCAAGGTCACTGGTAAAAAGTATAGTACATTCGGAAAAGTCATGTCCCATATAATGCATATGTGAAATATGAAATCCTTATCTTCTTTCATTTGAAAGTTATATATGACCAGGGTTAAAGTTTTTGTGACAGACGGATATAGACGATCGAAATTTAATATCCTCGCTCTTTTGCAAAAGCGGGAACAAAAAGAGTGGCGCGATTTGTTTTTAGCAATTTATTTAGAAATCAAAGGTGTTCATTACATTACAAAAAAGTGAGTTCAGTTCTGTAATAAAGAATACAAATTATATATATGCAGTAAAAAACAACAAAATAACTTTACATTTATCGAGAATTAATAAATTGAGCAATTATTTAGGAAAAAGACAGAAAATATTATGACAAGCAATATTACAGATATCCTAACTCAATTAAGGATATCTGTGACCAAATTTGTAGAGATATCTGTACTTTGGGGGGATAAGGACGGCGTCGATGACGTGAACGACGCCATTGGTTACCGCTGCGTCTGCACGCTCTACATTGGCTCCATTCACTTTCACACCTACAACATAAGTTAATTGTATCAATTAGCATTGTTGTCCTTTGTATGTTGTCGCTATATAGTAACGATCGATATCCCCTTGCGTTCTGGACAAATATTGTTATTAGCTGACATTATGTCGCCAGCGACAACTGCCGAAATTGCCGACACTGCAACATATGGTGCCACATCGGAATAATATATCATGTGACAATGAATTTTTCACACAGAGAAAATTTTCACGACATTATTTGCCCATCGGAAACTAGTATGCAATATACTAAAATCTGGCTGGTTATGAAACAAGAGGAAACACAAAAATGGACAGGATATAAATATGATCAAAAAAACTAATGAAAATTTATTAAAATTTATTTAAATATGGATTAACAATAGAAAAAAAAAGCCATTATCAAGAAGATTTAAAGAATGCAACTTGATTCTACATGTATGTAGGCTAAGATGCTCTGATTTCAGGCTATATACTTACACTTCAAAATAACAATACTTCTTTGTCGTTTAATATTATATAAAATTACACGTATGATATAAATCTAAATTTAAAAAAAAAAAGTTTGAAAGGGCTTTATATCAATCTCCCCTTTTTCTGTGGTATAACTGTGATCGTTAAAGTCTAAGACAACAAGTGACATCTTGTAGTCGCTCGTCGTTTGAAGAAATCAATCCTCTTTCTATCAGGCATCGTGTTGCTTGCTTGTTTCGTATTGTATATTAATAAAAAAAATTATAATCTCTATAATATTACATAATTTAGTTTTCTTTGCTAGATCTAATGAATCACCGAGGAAAGTATGGTATATGCCGGTGTTTAAGAGCAAAAGAATCCCCCTATATAACAAACGCTCCCCTATGGAACGCTTTATTATGTTATGCTGTGGTTATTCATGTGAAGATGGTGCTTTATTATGTTATGCTGTGGTTATTTCATGTGATGGTGGTTTTTCATGTGAAGGTGGTTTTTCATGTGAAGGTGATTTTTCATGTGAAGGTGGATTTTCATGTGAAGGTGGTTTTTCATGTGATGGTGTTTTTTTTAATGTGAAGGTGGTTTTTTTATATTTAATGTGATGGTGGTCACTCGGAACTCTTAATACTTTTTAAGACTGAGTTTAACTGCTATTATCTTGAAATTTTGAACGTGAAACAAATAGTCAATATAATTTAAATCATTTTAATACGCCATTGCTAGTTCCTCTTTTTTCCATAGGCGCTTGGTTTCAGGATGGTGTATTTTGTGTATTATGTTTTTTCTAGCTATGTCTGCATTAGCTCGATAACCTAAGAATAAAAAAATCACTGAAATAAGCAAGTTTTAAAAATGTCATATTACTTTATATAAAAAAAGAGTGAAGGTACGACAGTTGCAATCTTCGATTTTACGTCGAGTCCGGCTCGGTTCATACTTGATTTTAATTTATCAATATCTACACTTTTCCTGCCAGTTTCGGGCAGGAATTCGGATGAAACCTACATTTAAAAATGATTGAATAACGCCTTTTAATCGACTGCCAATTCGAATTTGCGTATAAAATATGCAGTAAACAAAAACGTCCTGATACCTAGAACTGAAAGTGAATGCAATGGAAGTGACGATTTTTAACCAAATAAATTGTAGAGGCGTCCCAGAATAACGAGAACAAGTTTGGCGCGGTTTCTGGCTTCCCTAGATTTTCCGAAGATGGCAACTGTTGTACCTACACTCTTACTATATAGACTAATATGACACTTTTTAAACGTGCTAATTTCAGTGATTTTTTATTTTAATGTTTTTTAGTGTATTCAGACATACCTACAAAAATCATAATACACAAAACACACCATTTTGAACCCAAGTGCCTAGATGGAAAAAAGAGGAACTAGCAATGGTGTATTAAAATGATTTAAATTACATTGACTATTTGTTTCACTTTCAAAATTTCAAGATAATATCAGTTAAACTCAGTGTTAAACTCAGTCTTCAAAAATATTAGGAGTTCCGAGTGACCAACATCACATTAAATATTAAAAAAAAACACCTTCACATAAAAAAAATACCTTCACATTAAAAAAAACACCAACACTTGAAAAACCACCTTCACATGAAAAACCACCATCACATGAAAAACCATCTTCACATGAAAATTCACCATCACATGAAAAACCACCTTCACATAAAAAACCACCTTCACATGAAAAACCACCATCACATGAAAAACCACCTTCACATGAAAAACCTTCACATAAAAAAACACCTTCACATGAAATAACCACAGCATAACATAATAAAGCACCACCTTCACATGAAATAACCACAGCATAACATAAAAAAGCACCACCTTCACATGAAATATCCACAGCATAACATAATAAAGCACCATCTTCACATGAAATAACCACAGCATAACATAATAAAGCACCATCTTCACATGAAATAACCACAGCATAACATAATGAAGCACCATCTTCACATAAAATAACCACAGCATAACATAATAAAGCACCATCTTCTCATGAAATAACCACATAAGGCAGCTATGGCGTTCCATACCATAGAACGCCATAGCATTTCATGTGAAGGTGGTGCTTTATTATGTTATGCTGTGGTTATTTCATGTGAAGGTGGTGCTTTATTATGTTATGCTGTGGTTATTTCATGTGAAGATGGTGCTTTATTATGTTATGCTGTGGTTATTTCATGTGAAGGTGTTTTTTTATGTGAAGGTGGTTTTTCATGTGAAGGTGGTTTTTCATGTGATGATGGTTTTTTATGTGAAAGTGGTTTTTCATGTGAAGGTGGTTTTTCATGTGAAGGTGGTTTTTCATGTGGTGGTGGTATTTTATGTGATGGTGGTTTTTCCTGTGAAGGTGGTTGTTAATGTGAAGATGGTTTTTTTTGTATTTGATGTGAAGTTATCACTCGGAACTCCTCATATTTTTTGAAGACTGAGTTTAACACTGAGTTTTATAGCTATTATCTCGAAATTTTGAAAATAAAACAAATAGTCGATGTAATTAAAATCATTTAATACACCATTGCTAGTTCCCCTTTTTTCCATAGGCACTTGGTTTCAAAATGCTGTATTTTGTGCATTATGATTTTTTTTTGTACGTATGTCTGAATACACTCAAAAACATAAAAATTAAAAAAAATCACTGAAATTATCCAGTTTAAAAAATGTCATATTACTCTATATAGTAACGTTTAAAAAATGTCATATTACTCTGTATAGTAAGAGTGTAAGTACATGTACGACAGTTGCCATCTTTTAAAAATCTAAGGAGGTCAGAAACCGCACCAAACTTGTTCTCCTTATTCCGGGACGCCTCTACATTTTATTTAGTTAAAAATCGTCACTTCCATTGCCTTCACTTTCAGTGCTAGGTATCAGGAGGTTTTTGTTTACTGCATATTTTATACGGCAAGTTCGAATTGGCAGACGATTGAAAGGCGTTATTCAATCAATTTTAAATGTAGATTTTACCCGAAACCCTGCCCGAAACTGGTAGGAAAAGTGTAGATATTGATTAAAATCAAGTGTGAACTGAGCCGGGCACCACATAAAATCAAAGATTGCAACTGTCGTACCTTCACTCTTTTTTTTAAATAAAGTAATATGTCATTTTTAAAACTTGCTTATTTCAGTGATTTTTTTTTAATTTTTATGTTATAGAGTTTATTCAGACAGAGCTAAAAAAATATATATAATACACAAAATACACCATCCTGAAACCAAGCGCCTATGGAAAAAAGAACTAGCAATGGCATATTAAAATGATTTTAGTTATATTGACTATTTGTTTCAAGATAATAGCGGTTAAGCTCAGTGTTAAACTCAGTCTTCAAAAATATTAGGAGTTCCGAGTGACCACCATCATATTAAATAAAAAAAACCACCTTCACATAAAAAAACACCATCACTTGAAAAAACACCTTCACATGAAAAACCACCTTCACATGAAAAACCACCTTCACATGAAAAACCACCATCACATAAAAAAACCATCTTCACATGAAAAACCACCTTCACGTGAAAAACCACCTTCACATAAAAAACCACCTTCACGTGAAATAACCACAGCATAACATAAAGCACCATCTTCACATGAAATAACCACAGCATAACATAATAAAGCACCATCTTCACATGAAATAACCACAGCATAACATAAAAAAGCACCATCTTTTCATGAAATAACAACATAAGGCAGCTATGGCGTTCCACACTCCCCGATAAGGGAGGTTCTGTTATATGTAGCAAAGAATCTGCGTAGCAGACCTTTCTACGTTATCAGTGATATTTATTTTACTTTACGATTTATGCCTTAATAAATTATTTTATGCTTTCAACTCTTGTACTAAGACAACATAGACTACTCTACCTTGTCCAACCATGATGTTGACATTTTTACCCTCGACAGTTGGAACAGGTCCGGAAGTGAGTCCTGCACTGAAATAGGTTCCGCTTACCACATGATAGGTTAGTACGTCTAAAAAGAAAGTCCTATTTATTTAAGTATGTACGACAAGAATGTACCAGATATTACTATAGTAATCATTCTTATATGCAGACTGTACCTGTGAGTGCTGTTTTGTTCTTAAGAAGGTTGTCCAAAGTTCCTGGGGGCAGAGCGGCAAAGGCTTTGTCTGTTGGTGCGAATACGGTAAATGGTCCAGGGCCTGTGTAATAGATATTAGATTTTATGTAGGCATTTTTCTGAAATATTATTAAGTGTTCAAAGAAACGTCCCAACAAATTAAGTAATGTTCACACACCTGAAAGAGTGCTGACAAGTCCGGCTGCCACCACGGCCTTTACCAATGTCCTTAGTTCCTGGTCCTGCTGAGCCAGTTTGACCACGTTTGTAACAGGGATGGGATACTCCACACGACTGATGACGTGGATGACGCCATTAGTAGCGTTCTGATTCACTTTAATGATCGGGCTACCGTCTGCTGTAACCACCTATTTAACATTTTGTATTATCGTAAACGATTGGCCCAAACATAAAGACTATATCAAATGCATGGAAAATATATATACAGTCTGCTTATCATTGTTCGCATCAGTCATGTTGGCGACAGGAGGACCTACCTTGCCGTTTTGGTAAATGTTGATTCTACAGTTCAGTTTGGGGTCTAGTGTGGGTACCACGAGTTCGTTCTTAAGCTGACTTGAGTAAATCTTCCCATTTAGAACATGATATTTCAATACCGCTATGAGGGCTTCTTTGTTTTTCTTTAAGAAGTCCAGTACTTCTGGTGGGAGATTGGCAAAAGCGTCATTGGTTGGCGCAAACACGGTGAACGGACCTAGAGAATAAATCAACGATATCAGAAAGAAGCATCAATGATTGTCACTGCATGTTTGAAGGCAAGTGCAATGCAGGAGATGTTTTGTTAACTCGATTCAACGCAATATAAAACAATGCCGTTAGTTATCAGGCCCGTACAACGCGGGGGGGGGGGGGGGGGGGCTGGGGGCCGCCCCCTACTTTTCTGAGTATAGTACATGTATTTTGTTATAATAAATTTTCCTGTAGATGCTGGTTGCCCCCCCCCCTTTTTTTTATCTGAAGGTCGAGCACTCCGCAAATTCCAGGATTCGGACAGTAAATTATAGCTTTTTTTCCCTTTAGATGCTGGTTGCCCCCTCCCCCTTTTGATTTGAAGGTCGAGCACTGGCAAATTCCAGGATTTGGACAGTAAATTAGCTTCTTTCCCTTTAGATGTTGGTTGCCCCCCCCCCCCTTTGATTTGAAGGTCGAGCACTGGGAAATTCCAGGATTTGGGACAGTAAAATAGCTTCTTTTTTTGGCTTGTCAGATTTTTTTTTTTTTGAAAGTTGCCCCCCCCCCCCCACTTTTGAAACCGTTGCTACGGGCCTAGTTATGGATCGTCTTCATTTTCTTGCAATTTAAACATGTCTAAACATCTCCGCTCTCACTCAACAGCTCCACCCCACCCCCACTCCCAGCTTCCCAAAGAACATACCGAGAATTTCAACAATTTTTTTTTAGATATCAGCTAAATCTATATGTGCACTAATCATTGAGAGAACAAATATTTTCAGTATTTGAACCCATGTCAATGTACGGGTACGTTAATTCATAATTATGATCTTAAGCTGACAATGCAAATAGAAAACTTATGTAATACTGACCTTGACCATTAATCTATGACAAATAAAATCGATATTAATACACTTCGGATGAAACAATACAGTTAATGACAATGCACTTAAAAGGATATTGTGATCATAGTATCTGACAACAATCTACACACCGGGTTTTCTCGGTTATTATTATTGGTATACTAGTACTTCACAATGAACTGTTAGGGTGTTTCATAACAATCGATATCACAATCGATTCTCAATGAAAATCCCAGATAAATATAAGACGTTACGGTCCAAGTCACAAAGACGTATACAAGCATTCTATATATATATATATTTACCTCCATTGGCCAAAGTGTCTGCTAGGCCCGCTTCCGTGGCTAACTGCAGCAGAGTTGTTGCACCAAGCTGCTGAGCAACCTGCACAATGTTGCCTTGCTGACAAAAGGCAGAAGCAACCAAACATAACAATACCACGGATTTCATCATACTGCTGCACTGGTGTACTCAACTGACTCAAATGAGCCTTATGCCTTTGTAACAGAAATCTTGTCACGTGTATTGAATAAGAGGAAAATAAGTTGTGTAATGCCTTTTTTTACTGCATAAAAAATACTTATGCATGCTGAATTTATGCATGATACATATATATTTACAATGCAATGTTATTAAAATAAAAATACACTTGCAAATAAAAAGAGTTTTAAATGTAGATTTCATAGCCGGAAACGCGACCCGTCACATGTCGCTGCTTATTCATTGACCACACTGTTGACCTCTCCTCAAAACATTCATTATGTCCATACGGGGAATACCGAGACATGCCGTTTATTGTCGGAGAGAAGCACCAATCGAATTAAATGTCCAACATATAAATATGCTTAAAATTTTATAACATGAATATTTAACATAAACATATGATAAACTTAATTGATTATCATGTACCATTTATAAACATGATTAGTTCGCTTTTTTTTTTTAGGTAGGTGGGAGTATTTTGTGTGGCGGCCCTGCTCGTGAACTCCATATTTTTTCAATCTTTTAATTATATAAGCTACATCAAAGTTTACATTGTCTCAGTAGCAGTTTTGCATTTATGGAAATTCCATAATCAAAGTGTTAAAGCTGCAAAATTTAGGACATATTTCATAACTTACTCCATATACCATGAGTGCACTTTCATAACGCCGAACAAGTGCGCATGTACCAAATATTATTGCCCTTCAACCTACAAGTAACAATGGACACGTGGACCTTTTGAAAATTGCCATATCGGAATGGATAAAATAGGCTTATCTCACGTTTTTGTCCTATACGGAAATTTACAAATCAATCAAAGTACTGATAGTACTGAGCTGCAAGCACTTCGTGCGACAGTCCGGCTGGACTTATGAAGATACACAAAAATCAAGCATTTATGTCATTTGGTGGATCAAATTTTAACCTGGTCCTCATATAATAGCTTAAACGATATTGCATCTGCAATCAAAAAGTCAAATATAGAATTATTATGAGAGGAATATTTCCCCTATCAACATCCTACCATTATACCTTTGGGTTTTCTGACTGTAGATGTAATAGCTTCTAATCTAAAAAAAAAAAATAATTAAATACCAGGTGTTAATTTTGGTACATTCCTAAAAAAAAAAACAACAACAGATGGCAAATATGGTTCAGATACCGTATCTTGAGTTAAATGTCGCAGTTTTATATTCATTTACTCCAGATGGCACGCGGGTGTATACATGTACGTGTGTATGTGTGTGTGTGGGGGGGGGGGGGAGGGGTTAGTCTATCATCTTGCTTACTGTAGTCTTGCATGAATTAAAAAAAACCTGTTTTTTTATTTGACTGTCTTCAGAAAATATATACGGTCGATAGATATGGTATCCTAGAATGTAACTAGTATACTTTTAATTAATTATCAAAAAATGAATGATCTTTACACCATGTAAGCCTCTACATGTAAATAAGGCTTGTGTAAATTTCTCCAAATTTTTGTTTAGTTCTAGATATGAAACACAGTAAAAAGATTGCATGATATTGTTCCTTTTGAGAGAGTTTGTCATATGATCCTAAACCAAGGAAAAAAAGAAGTAACCAGCGATAATGAATTCCTGTACATGCCTGGTAGATAGATTATTTATATGAACAATAAATTGTTTTTCTTGTGTGATGCGGGATATAACAGTTGCATTGCAGAATAAATACATAACCCGTGTAAGAAGGCCCTAGGACCATACTAAGGGTATAAAGCTATAAACAGGATTATATTAGGAAAACTTCAAGAAAGATTTCCACAAACAATAAACTTATCATTCATACCTAAGCAAGTTTTTGTGGTGCCGTGTTATGCATAATAGCAAAATCTTTATCTCTTATTTTTGAAAATTAAATATAAATATTTTTATGAATTAATAAGAAATCATCCTTACATATTTTTTCTAGAATATTGCTGTACATATAAAACAGTGTTTTTTTTTCCCTTACATATTAATTGCTAAAAAAACATAATAATAAAAAATAAAAAGAAAAAAAAGATCATTAACTGATTGAATATGCGGAAGGGATGTTCTAGAAAAATCACAAGAACTCAGCTGAAGTAATTGTCAAGTTTTCGAAGTCCATGACACATTTCTACACCATGGGACACATTGTCATTGACTGTCTGTCACACACTCATGACTTTTACAAGAAACAACTTTGAGACTTCATACTTGGCACAAAGAAGCTTATGACCAATGGGAGTGCTAGGATTGTGACTGTAGAATGTATGGACAAGGATACAGAAATTAGAAGTGTAAAATTCTGATCCAGTCCAGTTCTTTGAAATGTTGGCATTGTAAAAAAAAAAAAATGGTTTTATGATGGTAAAGAATTTGATATTGTTTCTTCTTATAAATATCTTGGTGTATTTTTTGAAAATTCTTTATCATGGAAAAAAAGCAAAATCATCATGTTCCTTTACAGAAAAAACCCTGTATATTCTATTTATATACATGTAGTTGTTTGATATACCCGGTATCATGTAAGCAGGCATTATTCCATTTTGATACTTTGGATCAACCATTTTATTGTATGGGCCAGAACTTTTTTGAAATTGAAAAATGTATTGAAAATGTTCATGTAAGGTTCTGTAAGAAATTATTAAATGTCAAACAAAGTACACCTGAACCTGCAGTTCTTGGTAAATTAGGTAGATATCCTCTGTTTATATGTTATTTTTAGAAAATAATTAACTTTTGGCTGAAGATTTGAAATATGAAAGACAATAGATACCCTAAAAAGTGTTATTTACTTTAACTATTAAGTTTAAACAGGAAGATGGCAACAAGGGTTGTATAGATTGTTGTATAGATCATATGGTTTCCAATCTGTTTGGATAAATCAAGGTGTTATAAATGTATCCTTATTTTTAAGAGAGGGTCAGAGATATGTTTATGCAAGAGTGGTAATTTATACTGAAGACTTGATCTTAATTGTATATATAAATCACTTGAACCAGAGTGATATATGAATATTGTAAAAGTTAAAGGTTAGCCTGTGTAGATTAAGAGTATCCAGTCATGATCTGTAAATAGAATGTGGCAGGTATAGAAATATTCTAAGAACTGACAGAGTAAGTAAATTTTGTCTAAAAGCAAAAGGTTTTCTTTGTAATGTAAATGAAGTCCACTTTATTGAATACTGTGAACTGTCTCCATAATGATATTAGAAAAAGCCCTATATATCAAAATACCTGGGGGGGTTTTTTTTGGGGGGGGGGAATACAAGAAAAAATTTAATTCAATATGGAGGAACAAATGCCTTAAATGCCTTGGCAAAGTATGTTTTTCTAGCCTTTAAAAGAAGAAACATTTTTATGAAGTCTCAAGAATGTTGATATATATTACTTGTGTAATAAAAAACTTGTAAGGATGAAAATGTGAGGATTGCCTTGGGCAAATAGTTTTGATCCAAAGGAACTGAGGTAATTTAAACAAAGTCAAGGACAACAGGACTGGAAATGCAAAAATTCTTGTCTGGTACATGTCATGGAAGAAAATACTGATGCTTATACTTGGCGGCATGAAGTTAGTATTATAGGACGTGATCTGACCCTGAAAAAAGATCCTAGTATGTAAAAGTCAAGGTCAATTGGATTAGAAGTGTACAATTCAAGTCTGAACTAAATCTTTGCTACGAAAAAAAATTTAGTTTATACTTGCACAAAGGTTCCTGTTATAATTCTGGCTACCCAGTTTTTATCCATACATCCCCATTTCTCCAATACTTATAAATCATGCAAGGTTATAAACCACTTTACCCCAAAAGGGAGCCATTTTCAATATATTTAAAAGGGAACTCTTTGAATACCTTGATAAAAGAATATTGAAATAAAACAATAAGTCTGGTTAATTAGGATACTTTACTTTAAAAAATTTTTGATACAAATTTTCAATCCTTAAGGTTTTGGCATTAGTCATTATAAAATCTATCACAATGGAAAAAAAAAAACTGATAGCATCATGACTGTTGCCATGGATACAACCTCATAAGATAAAAATATGGAATTAAAGAGCTGTCTCTGAAGAAGTCTCTCATGGTTCCAGTCATAGATAAAAAGAAAACAGCGAGATAAAACATGACACATAGTGGGACTCCATAATACAGCATGATGCCTCGAGCTACACAGGTGTCAAAATGACCCCCCGCCGAGCCAGGGCCGCACTACACAGGTAGTCATCACTATGCCCTGGGCTAAACAGGAGGTCATCTGTACACCCGGGCTACAAAGGCAGTGGTAAAACAAGACTGATGAGAGAAATCACAGAAATGTTCGGTGACAACATTTCACAAAAGCATTGTGTAATATCAGCTCTGTTGTTTTCCTCTGGACTTAAGAAAAAAGACAAATAATGAAAGGAAACAATGTCTGCACGTGTCAACAAAACAGTGAGTTATGTAGCTCCTGTCATAAATTAGGTTTTCTCTATGTACATATAACATCTTGCAGCTGTTAAAAATCATAAAAATCTTACATAATTACATATATACAGAGTCTATGCATTCACACACCACTCAAAATCCAAATAGATCATAAACAAGCTTGATATCATATTTAATTGGAGTCTGTCAAATGTTCAATGATACTAAACACACATAAAGGAAAATGTGAGAACAAAATGAAAAACTGTTGAACATCACAGTAAAAATGTTCACAAAAAACATAACAGTATTAAGTATTATAAGACCATATCTGTATAAAATTCATGTCCCATAATGCTCTTCTGTTGTTAAATTAAAAAAAAGACAAAAAACAATGTTAAGAGCTGGATTCCTGTATACTGATCTGATAAAATATCTGCAACATCAATATAAATACTTGACAACTATACATCAGTAGATCATATATATTAAGAACTTATCTGTCGAAACACAACAACTTTGGTGACCGATTAGACAATGAAGTAACAATGTAAATCAGGACTCTGATTAATATAAAATTAATAACCTTATCAGGTCCATGTAAGACTAGAGGGTACAATTTCGAGTGTATCTGTCTACACCAGAGATGAGTGGATTCTCCATCTGTATGTCACATTCATACAGACACGAGAGGTATATCAAAAATGATCACGACGACTGATGAGCAAATAAATCTACATATACCACATGTATACGTAGACATCTTGTGTGTCCCAGGTATAACTGTATCGACTGTGTATAATCAAAAATCAAGGGTCCGTTATGCACTGAGATTTTTCTTCACACAACATTATGGTATGGAACTTGGAAAACAAACATGATGCCTGAAGAAATTCAGTGTGAAGAATGATACAAAAGAACGGATCCTTACACACATCATGTGAATATTCATTCAGAAGTTCTCCATTCCTTTCATTCAGGACAATGTTTGGTCTGGAGCTTGGTTTTTTTTTTTGTTTCTATGGTAACATCACAGTCTCTCCACTCACAAAGGAATATCACAGCTGGGGAGGATCAGGGTTTTTACTGGCTGAAGGTCAAAGGTCAATATCTAAAACTGTGAGCATGTCTAGTCAAACGGAACTTCTGAAAATACCGCAAACAATCCTTAGTTACCAAACAATTTTCACATTCCTTCATAAGCATGTCAAAATATTTACCCATATACATATTTATATATATATATATTTGCCATATATAAATATTTAAGTGTAAAAATGATATTTACATTATTTTACCATAACTAAAAACATAACAGCGAGTTGTGAAGACATAACACATAGTCCCATTGTCCATGCTTTACAGTCTATCAGTCAATACATAAATCAATGCATGCACAAGTCAGCATTCTCAGGGAAGGAGTTATAAAGTACAGGTATCATCTCAAACTCAATGCTTTCTGCTGAAAGGTCTCACGTATACACACAAATGGCACAATTTTGATCAGATCTTGAATTCATGAATTCCTGGTAGTACTATAACATTTTAAAACATATAAAATTTCTTGTCGGTTTTAAGCTATCTGTTCCTATCTAATATCATTATCTACATGTCTATACAATGTATTCATAGGAATTTCAAATAATTGATTTCTTATTGCACAAACTTTGATTATTAATTCCTTCAGAAAGTTATACACAGATCTGCATGCAGATATTCAAAATTTTCAATTATTCACAAAACTAAATCAATCGCAATCAAGTTCAATGTACATTTTACATACATGTACATATATATATATTTACATATATTCAATATATGAAAGAAACAAAGGTTGCATCAAGCAACACTGCAAACCAGAACCAGCTGGTTTGAACTAAGTTTTATTGCACCGAGAACGATTAATTCATTCTGTCTGTCACACACGGTTATGGTTGGCTGAATTTGAATGCCACATCCTCCAGTGGAACCTTAAGCCTGTTTCTTGTGTTCACTCATCTTCTGCACAAAAATTAAAGGATATAAAATTCCACTTCAAGTTCATCTCTGGTGAGTAATAGACAGTTTATAAAAATCACCGCCACCAACCATGATGCAAGGGTAAGCAGGCACATAGATAACACACAAACTGTACTGCTTATCAAGTTTTAAATAGTAGAGTTCAGGTTAGTTCAAGCTCTACAATTATATACATCTATGGCAATAAAATGGTATAAGCCCCAAAATTTGAACCATTGGAAGAAAAGCATAAGACTCTAGATATAGGAAAAAAACTAGCAATTTTCACAACATGCAAAATGTGGCTTCAAAATACAAAGAAATGATGAGTATTGGTAAATATGACCTTCATATTTGGGTTTTCTACTGGTTCTATGATTGATTATAATGTACAAATTAACCTCAGTAACAACAAACCAAATAAACTTGAGTTTAAAGATGCTCATCTTTCCCACTGGTAATTGCTGTACTTGGAATTATTAAGGTTTCTCTTATTACAGGCTCAACAAAGATGAGAATCCTCTAGTAAAGTTTATTTGGCAAGTGCTGATAAGTATGGAAGACAAGCATTTCCCACTCCCAAGGACCAGAGCTGTCAATCAAAGTCATACTCTTATCAGATCTGCACATCAAGGAATACAACCAATGAAATTGGTCCTGTTGGGCCCTGACATCAACTGCAGGGCAGACAAGCAGGGAAGGTTGATGGCAGTTTTTAAGTTTGACTTTATGAGTGTTCTGACTTGATTTGACCAACCCTGGCTGCACTGTGACATTCTCTATGAATTTTAGAAGACAGCGTCAGAGATAGATCTCCATGCAAGGACAGAAGGATCATAAAGTTGTGACAAATACCATTTCATCGTCACTAGTGTCCTCTGAGCTGGGGCTGTAGTCTTTATGATTCAAATCATCATTGGTGGAGTAACAGTTGTAATCTTTCATCTCCTGGACCAGAAATCCCCCAAGGTGTTCATAGTAGGGGCTTCGCTGGCCAGGGTGGAGTGTGCTGGTGTGGTTTTCATCTGGTGGGTGAAGTAACATTCTTGCTGCCATGTTCATATCATCGGCTGTCATATCATTAGCCTCCGCTATTTCTTGTTGTAAAGTGTGAGCATCTACATAGCGATCTAAGCCCTCCTCTGTCAGCACCTGAAAATAAGTGTTATTGGTGAATGTTCATAGATGAAACTGTCTAGCACAAAACAAAGTTTCAGTACTACACTTTCTTCCATAAATAAAAGATTACTATACTGTAAATCCAATCCCTTCAAACATTATGGGTCTTTAATAAAGGAAAATTTTTAAAAAAAAATTTTTTTTTACAAAATGCAATTATAAGAAAGAATGATGGCTACATGTATCTTAAGCAATACATTAGTGAAAATTATGTTAGATGTTTCCTTGCATATAGAACTTAGTACCTTTTCTACCAAGCTTTCAGCACTGGATTTATTGTGACTGCCATGTCGATATTTCTGATTGGCCATCACATAATTAGGTATGATGAGAGGCCCCGCCTCTTTAGTCCGGGAGTACATGCCCGATGAGTCTTGAATGGCCATGGTGTCAGAGCCTCTATGAAGATTCTGCCTTGGTGACATGTTGCGTCCTTCAATGAGGGAGTTTGAACGTGAGAATGTGGAATGTGCTGAAATTGGTGGTAGACATGCATGGTTAGTGGACATACACATGCTGGTACAGTCATTATAACATCAAGCCTTCAAAACTGTTTATACAATGTAAGCCAGACCCAATAATACTTTTTTGATTAATAACTTAAAACATCACATGATAATGTTAAATCACTTATTTTTGTGGGGTCAAATTTGTGTGGTTTGGGGAAAAAATATTGGTTTGTGAGGATTTGATTTCATGGTTGAAGATAAAGACATTACTGCAATTTTAAATTTTAACATTTGAATTTGTGTGCCTCTTCATGCCACAAAAACAATGAAGATTAAAACCCCACAAAAAATAAATAGTGATTTGACAGTATATAATGCCTACTTTAATTCATGTAGCAGATATAATCATATAATCTGGGCTAAATCTCAAAGACCACCTGATTTATAGGAAGCATGATATTTCATATGGGATTGCCTAATATAATAAGGATGATAATTTCCATATGTTACAATTCTGTTGTTTGAGTTAAACTTTATTGAAACAAAATGCCATGAAACGTACGTGTACATGACTCTAAAGTAATACTGAATTATGCTGTTGTAAGCAGGTTATTTTTTACTGAGGATACAAGATGTTTTTATGCTTTCTCTGCACAAAGTTAGAGCCACATAGACCAATACTTCATGCTGTGTAAATCATTGCCAACCAGCTACTGGTAAAATTTCAATCCATAAAGCAGAAATGGGGAGGTAAAAACAACATATAATAGTGGTTTCCATGATTCGACAATAAAAAATATTAAAGCACACATAACTATCATGTAATTAGGAACATTTTGAGCTTTAAAGGATACAAATAAAACTGACTAAATTTTAACACATTTACAGATCTCCACTGATGGGAAAAAATTCTAAGTTGCAAGATCAACTAAATATGTTATACGAAGTTATGGTTAAATTATAAAGATTTTTACATTCACCCACAATGATAAAATCCCATTCTAGTCCATCAGAGAACTTTTGTGATTAAATGCTGATTCAATTACCTTGGTTTTGGAAGGAAGCTCTGTTTTCTGGAAGCCCTAATTTAGAATAATCGTTTGGTCGCTGTCGACCGTCACTGGTCAATCCCGCCACTGCCATGGCCTAAAAAGTCAATGCCAATACTTATAATGTACCACATCAATAAAATAATCTAAAGTTTTTATTATAATCTGCCTCAAATCCAAATTCAGATTGAATGTCTTCAAGAAAATCATTATTTTAAAATGAAAACCACTGTAAACTAGGGGATTCCCGAAATACCACTAACAAAGGACCTAGATATTTTATGTGACCTTGAATTCTGAATTTATAGGCATTGTATCTCACTGTGATGCATTCATGAAGCTTCAATAAGATGCAAATTGACATAAAGTTCTGACAATTGTATAAAAGTGTTAATCCTCTCACATAAACAGATGGAATAATGAAAAAAGACATTCAGCAAAATGTCTTTTTGTCTGACATGAGGTCTACACAAAATAATAGGTAGACATGTCTGACTTTGGTTACCTGAGTTTGAGCAAGCTTTAATGGTTCTGCAATCTTCTTCATCAGAGGATTTTCATCACTTTGTTGTTTCCCTATGCAGGCCAAACGTAGTGATGCCCCACGACGACTTAATTTCCTTGGGGGAGGGGTGGGAGGGGCATTATCCTCTCGTTCATAATCACTGTCCTCTTGTGGCAGACTAAAAATAAAAAATATCCCAAACAGATTAATCAAAGATGTGTAAACAAAAAAATGGACATACTACTGTATAATTTAATGATGTTTTAACAGATCATAATGTGTTATGTATTTTTTATGACTTTACACCCTACAATACTAGCCACTGTATGGTGTAATTTCTGTTTCCTGTTTTTTTTGTCTTTTAATTACTCTCTTTAAACATATATAAATTGTTCTTGGTCTTTAATCTCTTTAGACATGGATACCCTTTTTACCTACTCTCTAAAGACATAGATGCCCTATTAACTTTCTCTAGACAGATGTTCTGTTTACTAACTCTCTGTGAACATTAATGCTCTATTTACATACTCTTTTGAGACATAGTTGCCTTTTTTACTAACTCTCTATAGACATAGTTGCTATGTTTACTAACTCTCTATAGACATAGTTGCTATGTTTACTAACTCTCTATAGACATAGTTGCTATGTTTACTAACTCTCTATAGACATAGTTGCTATGTTTACTAACTCTCTATAGACATAGTTGCTATGTTTACTAACTCTCTATAGACATAGTTGCTATGTTTACTAACTCTCTATAGACATAGTTGCTATGTTTACTAACTCTCTATAGACATAGTTGCTATGTTTACTAACTCTCTATAGACATAGTTGCTATGTTTACTAACTCTCTATAGACATAGTTGCTATGTTTACTAACTCTCTATAGACATACCGGGGTATGTGCCCTGTTTACTTACTCTCTATGGACATTAATACCCTGTTTACATACTCTCTATGGACATTAATACCCTGTTTACATACTCTCTATTGACTTTACATATAATACCCTGTTTACATACTCTCTATTGACTTTACTTATAATACCCTGTTTACTTAATCTCTATAGACATTAATGCCCTGTTTACATATTCTCTATAGACAAAAATACCTTGTTTACTTATTCTCTATAGACAATAATACCCTGTTCACTAACTTTCTATAGACATAAATACTGTTTACTTACTCTCTATAGACATTAATGCCCTGCTTACTTACTCTCTTTTAGACATAAATGCCCTGTTCACTTACTCTCTATAGACATAGATGCCCTGCTTACTTACCAGGTACTCTCTTTTAGACATAAATGCCCTGTACATTTATTCTCTATAGACATAAATGCCCTGCTTAGTTACCCTCTATAGACATAGGTGCTCTGTTTACTTACTCTCTAAAGACATAATGCCCTGCTTACTTACTCTCTATAGACATAGATGCCCTGTTTCTTTGTAACGTCCTGAGGCTTGTATTTGTCCCACTGAGGGACCTCAGATTCTGAGCCATCCTGGCTGATGGGGCTCCTTGGAGGGACAGCGTCATGACTGATGGGGCTCCTGGGGGGCACTAAGTCACGGTGGGATTCAGAGGAAGAAATTCCACTGAAAAATAAATCACAAACAATATATTTTAATATTAAACATGAGTAATATTTTATCAGATTGTTACTTTTTGATTTTGACCTTTTAAATTTTGGATGAAGAGTAAATTAACAGGTCTCTACTATTAATATACGGTAAAAAAATCAGCAGTTTAATTAACAACTAAAATCTGCATTAAAACAAACATTACCTGGTATGGCTTTGACGACGAGAATCGTTGCTCATCATTGGTGAGACACGAACAGGAGCTAGGGGGGAGGGAGTTCGGTTGATGGCATTGCGCTGTTCCACACTCAGATGGTTACAGCTATCTGCTGGGGTAACTTTTCCATTGAGTGAGTTTTGTGGTGAGAGGTTGGTATGGGAGGAGATTTTGGGCGTTTGATTGATCAGAAGTGACTGTGTCCGACTGGCAAAAGGGATGGCAGTTTTATGGACTCCTGCTAGGGCCGTCATTACGCTGCCAAATCCAAACAGTTTGTGGTTCCGCTGTTAGAAGGAAAGAATGTAATCAGGAGATTAGTAAAGGCAGGTATGAGACAAAAAGTGGGGGGTGGAGGGGGCGGGAAGGGCTACACTGAGGGGGCTGACTTTTGGGATTGGTTTTGTTTTCCCTGCCCAGTCTTGTGTACACCAGTCACAGCTTTGATAACATTGCCGAACAAGCTGTGGATTCTCTGTAATTACACAACAGACTGCCACAATCTTCTCTGTCTAACACAGTTCAAGAGGAACAATAAAATATTGTTTTACTTTACAAGAATTTTATACAACATTTTTTTCCAGTACAAACCCTGTGCATAGGTTCTTCTACATCTTTTTCAGCAAAGTCCTCCTCATCTAAGTTGCCTGATATTGCACGGCGAATTTCTGGTCCCAGATCATGTACAGCTCGTAACCCAGCCTGCATAACAGATGAAATAAATATGAGGTTTGTTGGAAATTTCTCACAACACTGCAATATGTCAACATTACAGAGGGTCATGAATAAATACAATTTTCTCCTTCTCAGTGTACATTTCATCCAAGCAAACACACTTCATTTATCTGGTCACAAATTTTTCAGATATTTTGCAGAATATCTACACTTGTTTTTTTTCAATGCTAGCGATAAATCCAAGCCCTGGATACAGGACTGCCTCAATATGTCTGTCCTAATAAATTCTTTTTTTGCAATGGGCACTTACCTAACTCTACACATAAATGCAATGTAATAAACAAAAATCAAAATTTAGGCTCATATTAAACAGTAACAGTTGTTCTCTCAAACTAACTACAGTGTATACAAGTATGGCAATATAAGCAATATCTTATCAATCTACCATGATATTCATGGTGGAAATTTAAGTTATTCAATTTCTCAGCAAAAACATCTGTGTTTAGACACAAGGAATGTACAAAATTTAAAATTCAAATGCTTATAAATAAGTACCCTACTTAGCCCTTTTAACGGTCTGAACAATGAATTTCTGCAAAAAATTTGTTGGATAAAAGCATTTGTCAGAAGACTACCACCAACAATTGAGATTCCTCCTTTGCCCAGCAGTTTCTGAGGATATCTTACTTGTAGAGGATAGCTTACTTGTAGAGGATAGCTTACTTGCAGAAGATATCTTACTTGTACAGGATAGCTTACTTGTAGATATCTTAATTGTAGAGGATATCTTACTTGTAGAGGATATCTTACTTGTAGAGGATAGCTTACGTGTAGAGGAAAGCTTACTTGTAGAGGATATCTTACTTGTAGAGGATATTTTACTTGTTGAGAATAGCTTACTTGTAGAGCATTTGTGTGCTCCTGTCCCTTCTCTATCTTTTTCATCTGCTCCTTTCGCTTTTTGAATCGCCTGAAGTAATCTTGAATCAAAAAGGTTGCATAGAATTTTCCCACAGTCACATCATCTTCTCCTGAAATGATTAAACAAACATCCTGTTAATGCTGACTCAATGCCATCTCATTAAATTAACAATATGTAACTAGCGTGTATTTAACCAGCAGAAACTGTAATGAGTTTGGCATGGGAGGTCTTTTAATAAAGGTAGTTTTATTTTGTAAATTCACGATATTTTCTGGTCACTAAGAACAGTTGGTTTAAGGATATATAACTATACTGTGAAGAATAGAAGTTTCATTTTATATTTACACTCTTTCTGAATCACATATATAATTATAAATATGAAATCCAGACTCCAGTATTAAAAATATTACTACATCAAGTCACTCAGGAGACCTACTGTAAATTACAGAAATGGTGAAGAATTGTGTCAAAGAAAAAAAGTACTACATAAAAATGTCTACACAGAGGAAATATCACATGAAAAATTTATTAAATTTCAGTTCAAAAAATACAACTTGTTGAGGATTATTATCGGATATAGACTTGTTCTACTTGTTTTAAAGTTTCTCCCATAGAAAAAAACTTTTTATGGCAGTTTAAATCATTTCAGAGGCTTCTAACACTGAATATTTTTTTAAAATCTTTTTCCAAATACAGTAATTTCCTGATTTCAAAAATCCGAAACAGAAGTGAACACAGTCACAGAGGTAACATGCATGATCTCCTACAGAGAAAACATCAAACCATTCAGGAGAAGCTCCCCAGGGAGATGACGGCCTCCGTACAAACATAACTACCGAACAGGAAAGTGGTGTTCTGGTGCTCTAAAGTCACAACAAACAAAATATAAAACTCACTACCAGCAGGGGGGACTACTTGGTCTAGAAGTTTAGGACTCGTGCGTTTCCAGATTGTTTTGATGACTCTGCGTAGGTCCTCGTTAGCCTCGTCTATGTTTCCTTCTGTCTTGATCTTTAGAGAAGTTCGCACCAAGGCAAAGAGTGTGGCATTAAACATCACAGTTCCGTCACTGTTCAGAGGCATGTTCATGCTGACTAGACGCTGAAAATACAAAGATGGTCGGAAATGATTTCACAGAATATAAACTGACAAATTTCATACATATTGGTTCAACATCTCTCAAAAAAATAATTTCTTTCTCAAATAATTTTTTTCAAATATTTTTGGTTGAAGGAGGCAGGCAGCATGTCTGTGAAAAATACAGCTGGGCATAAGGTGATTATTTCAGTATCAGTACAAGAGGGCCGTCTTAAAAAACAGAAAAAATTACTCACCTTACAGGCAACTCTATGAGGACAAAGCTTTCCAAATCCCAAAGGGGGTGATATTTTTCTGAGCAACTGAACTACATCCAAGTGCTTTATTCTTCCTCTGAGAAATACAATCACTTGATATAAATTTTTGAAACATTTAAATAGACTGTACATTTTTTTTTACAACGTTTTCAATAAATACATGTATGTATCATACATTTTAAAGTGAAAAATAACATGACTCTTCAAACTACAGTTTATTTACTTTGCCTCAGGATCGTATTCTGACCACAGTCTGACAAACTCGTCCAGGTGATGCGGGCCCAGAATTGACCAATCACGAGTGAGATAGTCAAAGTTATCCATAATGACTGCCACAAACAAGTTAATAATCTGAAAACAATGACATCAATCTATATTCACATTTAATGCTTAAGATATATACCAAGTTTTACTTTATTCAATTAAAATGCATTGTTAAGCCCCCGTCCTAATCCCCCAGCTCTTCTCCCCTTTGCACTCACCAAGAATGAACACAACATGTAGAAAGAGATGAAGTAGAAGTATGCCACTTCATTTCCACAAGTTTCGTCAGGCTTGGCATCAGACAGAGCATCACAGGGCTGACCTGCGACACAAGATAACATAATGTCCTGCCAGGCCTCTCCAGTAGCTGACCTGTAAACAACAGTAACAACTGAAAATTTCCATCTTACTGCAGATCATATCAATCAGTCTGAGAATATCCAATCTTTATGGCAAGTATAAATACATATTTCTTTTATATTTATTTTATTACTCAAAGGTGCCCCAAGGAATTTACAGGAAAACTATAGAGTATATAAACAGAGCATCAGAAAACTATAGAGTTATCTGAGGATGAAGCTTAGTACATATTAATTAATACATGTATCACTTGTGTAGTTTACCTGAACAAAACTAATACTGCTTGAGGAAAAGTCTGGAAATTGTTGTTCCTGTGGATTTGAGAGTCCTCCAGATCAGTAGAGATTTTACCAAATAACTGTCAAAAATAAAATTATTTGAATTCAATTACTCATGCACTTAAAAGGACATGTAGCTGCAACATAGTCAAAGAAGTGAATAAGATTTGATGACCTACAGTGAAACATAGGTTACAGCAGGGCATGGCACCAATATTGTTGAAATTAAATTTCTTCATAAAATCTGCTTAATTACGTGTATTTATTCATTTATGTAATGCATTCACTCAAAATATTTGTTACAAATGGGTTTTAAAAGAGCAATCTCTGTTATTAGTCTACCTGCATTCCAATAACTGCGTAGATGAAGAACAACATGACGATAAGCAGTGCAACATATGGCAGTGCCTGAAAAAGAACATCAAGGGTAAAATATTGTAACAGGTTAAAAATTGTTTTACTTATATTTACAAAACAGACACATGGTTGAGATATTGTTTCCAGTCAACTGAAGACAGTATGTTTTTTTTCACAAAACTCTCAAACAAAAGTGTGTACAATATGTTAATAAATAGCTTACTTGAAAGGACTTAATAAATGTCCAAAGAAGAGTTCGGATTCCCTCCCCTCGACTCAGAAGTTTGACCAATCTCATCACTCGGAACAGACGGAAAAAGTTAATGCTGATGATACCTTGTCCGGGCTGTGGGGAGAAAAAAGGGCTATATGTATACCAGAAAATATATAGGACCTCATCAACATGATGCTGCCTGAGTCAATATCAAATCTAAAAGCTTGCAATAATTTAAAGAAACCAACTGGGTGCATTAAACTACATCCCAGAAAATAAATTTATAAACTAACAATTTAATTGTGTATGTCTAAGAATTGCTGTTATAACTGAAAACATGTAAAACACAAGTGAAAACTTTCCTGTTCTCGGTTGTCTGTCAAAGAAAAGCAAAATACTGCACAACAACACACATGGAAAAAGCATTTCAAAAGAAAACTGTCTTTAAAAACAATAAGGATATTACACTTAAATTACTTTTGTAAAAATAGTGGATAATTTTAAAATTCTGAATCATTCAATATATATGAAGTACATTTACATGCATCATATGGTTGTGTGTGTTAATCTTATTGAGTACATTATTTTGTACATGTGTTTAATCAAAAAAGATATTGTCTCATATATATATTGTTTACATAGGTATTGTAATTATCTAAACTATTTCCACTACTATTCTCTGACATACACATGGAATATCTTACATCGAGTTCCACGTCTTGCTTGAAATCAATTCCAATAACAATGTACTACATGTATATGACATATATACAGAGCATACAGTTTACATACTACACGTGAGGTATACTGAAATAACACTGACCTATATAGACAGGGGGGAGGTTGTGTCTAGACCATCATTATCATGCACATATACAACACATCCCTAGTCTATCAGAGTAACAGGGTGCCCCAGATAGGGCAGAGAGCATGGAGGGAGGGGGAGAGGGTGGGCAGCGCAGGGGGGTGATACTGTAGGCTTAAATTACTGAGCATGGCTCTACCCAAGCAACTTCTATATACAGTCTCAATTTCTGTGTACATGTGTACTCAGTATCTTGTTCATTTAAGTGCTTAACTTTACCATTAATATGCATTAGAATTAAAAAACATTTAAGTATACTTAAGATATTTCCTCAGAAATCTTTGTTCTTAAAAATACTCAGTCAAAAGGCTTAATATTTATAGGACAACAATACATACTCTATATCAGCCTCAAAATAGTAAAAAGAAACTCTATGTAAAACAAGGTTAAGCATTTCAAGTTTATTTCAACAAAAAAATGGCATGAGACATGCAGGAGGGATAGACATGCTATGGAGGTCTCCGCTGGCCATGCTTTAGGAGAGAGAGAGACCAACAGGTTTCTAACATTCAGTGCACAGTCAACCAACCTTGGCTCGCTATTAGATTGTTGTAATTACAAAGTGAACCCATAATTAGTAACAAAATACAATCAGCATCTGGCTTAGAAATAATGGACACACAAACTTAAACATGTCAAATAAGCTGTCTACTGAAGGACAGTCTGCAGCCCAATGGAAAACTCCAAATACATACAAAAAAATCAGTGTTGTTGAAATGAAAATGAAGGAAATGTTTATAATGCAGTTTTCATCACCAAGAAATTAAGAGAGAGTATAAATATAGTAGAGAAATAAAAAAAAAACAGGAGAGTGTTTGTTTTGTAGACTAAGTGTGTAAATTTGCCTAAACAGCTGATATTTAGAATGCTACTCTTTAAGAGTAACCAGGTCAAGTGTTATTATTATGGTTTTAAAAATTACAGATACATGAACATATGTATCTTTTCAGCCAGAAAAGAAGCATTTATTTAAGGAATAACTGTCTAATTTTTTGGTTTCATGATGTGATCAATCGATTGGCTTCTGTGATAATTTTCATAAATGCCGAAGGCGTTTATGCATAAAATTATCACACAAGCCAATCGATTGATCATCGTCATGAAACCAAAAAATCTGACAGTTATTCCTTATATTTACATGCTCTTGATTCTGCAAATTCATGTGCTACAAGCCCCGCTTCTGTCTCTATTTGTCCCGCCCCGCACATGATTTTTTCCCCCCCACGCCTATCGATGAACCAGTAGATTTATGTAGAAATAAAGTATTTTTACTATTTGAAATTTTATCTTGGACAAAGACATTGGAAATGTAAATATTGATATGTTAATCAAAATAATGATGAATTACTTAATCTGAATCATTTACCATCCAAAAAAATTATATATTAAGAAATCTACTGGATTTGCCTGCACCAAGCTTGCCATAAGAATGTAAAGAATTGGTGGACTTAGTATGTCCATTCCAAATCCAGCCTGCTTCATGGAGATGTACTTAAATCACATCAATCAGTACAACCAAAAGTATTCACACACAAAATGGAAAACTACCAAGGCATCACACAGAAAAAATGTGAAGTATTAACATGAAAAATTTCCATAGACAAATAACAAACAGCTACTAATGGTGCCTTTTCATGAAATTGAAATAACTACAGTTTGTGTCAGTCCATGCATTCTTAGTGAAATGTCCCACCATGCATAGATTATCATCCATTTAAACAGTGGGTATTTCCTAACAACTTGGAGCAAAAAATTCAAATTTCCAAGTCAAGACACAAAAAGGAATTTCTTTATATGGGAAAAGGAGTTTTAATTTAAGTCAAGAATTTGGAACAAAGAGGTAAGGAGCTGATTAAGAATGTATCATGTCTTTTTCACGTTTTTCTGGGCATTGAATTCAATTTCAGAACTTTTTGGTTGATCTTTGGAACTAATGTTTTCATTAACTAAAATATTTTGCTTTAATTTATACCGTAAATCTGGAAATTTTTGCTGTAGATAAATTTTTAGCAAATTTGCGCGTGCATTGCATTCGCAAAAATATTTTTCTTAAAAATAAATCAACAATAAAAAATGTCTTTATCTAAACATTACTTCGTTATATATATTTTATGTACATGTTTGATTTATGAAAATGTTATGAAAACTTTCAACACTTTGGATGATTTATCTTTTCTAATATTTTCAACTGATTATTGAATGTTGGCGTAATTTAATATTGTATGTTTATTCGTAATTTATTGTATGTACATGCGTAACTTACAAACCTTTAAGAAAATTTTAAGAGCTTTTTATATTTAGTTCAAATGACTATTCGCAAAATTTTAAATGTAAAAATTAATCAACAGACTTTTGACCCAGATTCGCAAAAATAAATCGACATAAAAATTTCCAGATTTACGGTACAATAAGGTGGTTTATCATGGTTAAATATGTTGAAAGTAAGGGAATATAAAGCATATGTTCACTGCCATTACTGCAAATGTTCTATGAAATTTAAATTTATTTCAGTATGCCCATTAAGTTAGTATGTACCCCAGTCTACTTGATTTCAATGAGCAGATGCAAATTGAATCAATGACTTATGAATGGGAAAGTACAATGAAAATATTCATTCAGAGAGTCAAAAAGAAATAAACCTCTAATAACAATAGACAAATTAAAAAAAAGAGCTAGAGATTAATGGAAAATCCACAAAGATCTAAAGAGGAGATTAACATCCTGCTTCTGAGAAATAGGACAGGCAAGACTGACATTATACTATATGTTAATGTATAAATCAGGCACTGCTTCAGAATCTACTCGCTGTCAGTAATTCACTGTATCTGGCAATCTCTAACAGGAGCTGTTAATGGCATCTAAACTGTTCACTGCTATTGTCAGAGTGATTCAGCCCTTCCAGTCTTTAGTGAATCAAGACAATTGCTGGAAACTTAGTGAAGTTGACGTCCCAGAGATAAATTTTGAGACACAGTGATTTAGATATCTTTTATATTTGTATCACAAATCAAAGATTTATCAAAAAATATGAGTATAGTTTTGACAATCTCAACTGCATTGTAAATCAAGAAAAGAAGTGGCCCAAAACAAAGGTTGTATCAACTGCATCATTCTTATTGTCTATGTCAACATCATACAACTTCTTTTTAGTATAAACACATGTAAACAACACTGAATCAAAGCATTTGAAGGAAAAGAATATGTTCTGATTTCATCTCATTCGAAGATTCAGTGAAAATCCTCAGTCTATCATCATTCCACATCTTGAGACTAATGGCAATGTTAACTTGATTATGTTTAATATTTCTACCATACAGTGAGAATGAAGGAGAGAAACAATGTTTTTGTGCTGGGCCAGAAAAGGATTTTTTTTTTACCACAAAAGTAGATTTTTTAGGTTCTGAAACCTGCAATTTTATGAAACCTAATACTTTCAAGTACATTGTATTAAACAAAATTTGCATGAGCCATGCAAAATTCTATTTCTTTCAATTTTCCTGTTTTTGCATCACTGTGTCTCTTTGAGAAGACCTGGTTGATTTCTAAGAGACATTTGTTATTCATTAGTGCAGTTCAATGTTCATGAATAGAGAGAAAGAAAATAAATAACAAAACTAGTTCAAGAAGAAGCAAAAGACACAAAAGAACAATTATTATTCAACGAGAAAAATTAACTAAAAATAATCAGAAAAGTAAAGGATGGAAGATAAAAAAAAAAAAAAGTCAAGAAAATTTTTCAAAATTGTAAAAGCTGTCACTAGGACAGATGTAATCAAGCATAGCTTCTACATAAAAGGTAAGATTGTCCAGATCTGTTATAACTAACAGTACACATCTAGAGAAAGCTTAAGCTGTCTACCGATCAGCCCCCTAGTAATCAGCTAGACATACAAGCAATCAGTTTTATTTGTGTAGCACCATTCATTTAGTCTGCCATAACGTTTCCCAGACATGATTTTGATATTTCGCTGGGAAGAATAGTTTGGAAAATAAATGAAGGTGATATTTAAAACATTTTGAAATGTGAAAAAAAAAAATACAGAATTTTGTTTTATATGGAAATGGAAAATCATGTCTGTTCTAAAAAAGCCAGGTTACTCAGATCCAGACAAATGTCTTGAATCACTAAAAATTGTTGTGAAAAATACTAAAACACATGTCAACTAGAGATTAAAACAGCCTCATTTTGCAGTGCATTTAGATCACATTATTACCTTTAAATCTCCCTTTTCTCGCTGAAATGTGCAATGTTTTTAAAGCTTCAAATCCTAAACATGTTTTTAAAAAAGGATAATGGGCTTGTACCTAATGCATATGGGCCGTACTATTAAAATTATCCATAAACTTCTACTAAATGACAATCAAATTAGGTCAGCTGAAGTAGTGAAAAAAGAATGGCTAAGACTGATAAAGAGAATTTCCAAAATCTTAGATCTTCAAGATGCAGTATCTGCAATGTTAATCTCACATGATAAAAAGAGAAAGCAAAGTTGCAAGATTTGCATCATCATAAACCACAGTCATCAGATCACAGATGCAGGTCATGAGGAGATGATTGAGGAGATAGGTCCTCAAAGAACCCATGAGGAGGAGCAAAATACTTACATTGACCTCCGTGTAGATAATATCTATAAAGCTGCCCAGTACAATGATGAAATCAAAGACATTCCAGGGGTCTCCAAAATAGTTCTACAAAATAACATAAAGGTTCAATATACAATGAATTAAGCCTCCCAAAAATAATAAAAATGTCCAATATATAATGTGTTACACCTCCCATCCAAATTCTATCAAAATAACATAAATGTACAATATATATCATGTTAATTAAACCTCCCATCCAAATTTTATGAACTTCAAGCTGCAATTTGTCTCAAATGATTTCTAAGTGATTTCTTAAGAAAGTGCACTTTTGCAAAAAAAAAAGAAAAAAAGAAAAAATTAAGAGTTTTTACCCTAAATCTAAATGCCATCAGTTTCAGAATAAATTCAATGGTGAAGACTCCTGTGAAGATCATGTTCAAGTAATCCAGGGCATCTGAGTAAGCTCCTGACTGTCCATCATACTGTAATACAGACACACAGACAAGGTTAGAACATCACAGAATTCACTGACCAGCAATATGATGAAATCAAAGATGATTCTACTCAACTTCAACAATGGTACTTCTACATTAACATCAAATAAAGGCTTTAAATCTATTAAATTTAAATCCCTAACTCATTTTGTGAGATATCAAACAAGAGTCAAACCACTGTACACACAAACCTTCATGGCCAGAATAACTGTGTTGAGAATAATCAAGGTAAAAATGCCATACTCAAAAGCTCGACTTGTGACAAACCACCAGATCTTGTACTGCCAGCGAGCTTTAGGAATGTAGCGCCGGGTAGGACGAGTTTTTAGAGCAAACTCGATACATTTTCTCTGGAATGAAACAAGCTCATTTTACAATCAATTGCTAATTGTGAGAAAGGAAGAAAATTTGTCTCCCCCTTCCTCATTTAGTCAGTCCAATAGCATATATATTAGGGATCTCAGATCGGTCAATTTTTGATAATCGGTTACTCGGACGTTTTTCCGATCGAGTACCCGGGTACTCGGTAAAAATGTAAAATTTATTAATACAAGTGTGTTAATTTTCTTGAGCCACGGTAAGCTCGGTCAAACCCCAAAGCTGTTTTTATCACGTTTATAAACGTATATAAATATAGATTCCAACAGAAATGATTTTGTGGTACTAAATTTATTTATCAAATGAACACAAAAGACACAATTAATGCATCAAAAATTACAATTGGTTTACAGTTCTTGTTTAGGATCTATTTGATCAACGCAAAAAGAGGACAATCTGTTACGCAGGTTTGTGATGATTAAACTAGGGAAAGAGAAGGAAGGACGTTGTTGGGATCGCTAGTCTAATATTTTTTTTTCATATGATGGTCGTTACCATGGTATACACTGAAGTTCAACATTTTTTTTTTCAATCTTTCGTTATTTCTAAATATTTCTTCACTTTTAAAGTGGGTAGCGGAATTTCTATGCATGTCCATTTTCGCTGCCGTATATAAATTAAATAATTTAAAAATGAAGATAATAGACCATACTTAAACGATGTACAATGAAAACAATCATTGAAGCCATTCAAAAATTAAGGACAACAATAGGTGAGAACATCTGTGTACCAGGTGATTGGTCACTAATAATTGTATAAACACAGCCATTTAACAATTAGATTTGTCATTAATTAATAGTGCACAAAATTTTCCCCATTTACCGGTACAGTAAGAAACTAAATGGATTTCATTAAGCTAGCTTCACCTATGATGTCTTAAATGATTTTTGTCCAGTAATACAGATAGATTTCAGTAAGCTAGCTCCACCTATGATGTCTTACTTGATTTAGGCTACACCAAGAGGTCTTACTTGATTTAGGCTACACCTATGATGTCTTACCTGATTTAGGCTACACCTATGATGTCTTACCTGATTTAGGCTACACCTATGATGTCTTACTTGATTTAGGCTACACCTATGATGTCTTACTTGATTTAGGCTACACCTATGATGTCTTACTTGATTTAGGATACACCTATGATATCTTTCTTGATTTAGGCTACACCTATGATGTCTTACTTGATTTAGGCTACACCTATGATATCTTACTTGATTTAGGCTACACCTATGATATCTTACTTGATTTAGACTACACCTATGATATCTTACTTGATTTAGGCTACACCTATGATGTCTTACTTGATTTTTGTCCAGCTCACAGTTCTTATACTCCTGTTCTCCTTCATTCTGAAATGTGACGATCACAAAACCCACGAAGATGTTCATCATGAAGAAAGCGATGACAATGATGAAGATAAAATAGAAGACAGCCACAAAGGGTTGGTAGTTATAAATAGGTCCATGATTCTCATCGTTGGCATCAATCGACTGATACAGCAACCTGTTAATACATCACAAACATTTAACCACCTGGCTTGTGCAAAAAAAGGTTTTTGTTCCCAATTCTTTCTTTCTTATGCTTTGTCTACCAGATCAGCTTACTTTTAAGTCTTTTTATTAGAACTTTCTAGGAATTTTCACAGAATGGAAATTGAAGAAATATACTTCGGATAAAGACATGGATAATTAATATACATGATCAAATGTTCTTAAAGCTAAACTGAAGTATACCCTGGCCATCCCTCAAAAGTGGAGACAGTAAACAGTGTCAACATGGCCTTGGGAACGTTGTCATAATTAAGGTCGTTGTTTGTCCACTCCCGTTCCTTCACCTCTGGATTATCAATTTCTCCCGTTGGGTAGTCAATGTAACGACCCCTGCAGAAAACAAAAGTCAATGAAAAATCAACACCAAAATCAATACCAAAATCAACACCAAAATCAATATCAAAATCAATGTTAAAATTAACACCAAAATCAATGTTAAAATTAACACCAAAATCAACGACAAAAGGTTGAAATGGGATATGAGTTCATTATACTGAAAGACAAAAAAGAAATGTGTTGGATATCACCATAAATCTTGACAATCACTGCAAGTCTTTCCTCTGTTAACAATGTATTACTTCATGGTAAGTTATTGGTATTTACCAATTTGCCAGTTAACATTGAGACAAATCAACAGTGAGGTAATCAAATGTGTCTAAGGACATGTTTTGCCAGTTTTAACATGTCTAAATGTGTTGAAAGTCAATATTGAAACAGAGTGATAAAAAGACTAGTCTCATTAATCAAAGTTTTGGTAGTACTGACCTGCATTCCCTCTCTGTCAGTTTGGATCTGTCTGAACAACTGTAAAACCGACCCTGAAATCAGAGGACATTAGCATTTTAAGTTAACCGTTTCATACAGCATCAACACGTGCAGTTTGTTTTACAAAAGTGAATAAAATCTCAAAAACTAATTTCAATTTGAGATGCAATTACCACCCATCCCCCCTTTCTCCATAATCTAGAACCATTTGCATCAGACCTGAGCCATAATTTTTATGTACAGAACAAACTTGTGACATTATCTAGACAAACCTTAAAAAGTTGAACTCCGATGACAGCAAACATAAACTGTAGAAGGAAGGTAACCAGCATAATGTTGTAGATGGTGCGTACGGCCACAATCACACACTGTACCACGTGCTGCAATATAAAGGGGAACACAGGTCAAAACTGATCTCAAGGAAACACAGAGACCAAAAAAAGCTGTGGTAATTTCATCTCTACTAGCAGTACTCTACAGTGTTCATTACTTAAAAAGACAGACAGACAGGAGACAAACCTTGAGTCCTTTAGCTCTGTTGATGGCTCTCAATGGTCTTAACACTCTCAGGACCCTGAGAATTTTTACTACAGATATGGCTTGATTGCTGGAAAAAAAAGAACAAGAATATTGGAATGGCAGACAGAATGAGTAATGTTCATATAGCTTCAAATCTACAAGTACATGTGTGTATGTTTCAGCTATTTCTTTTGCCTCTTAGTGTTGAACATAAAAAATTTATTTTTTTCCTAGTGAACTCAATCTCTGCTCCTAATGCAAACTTACACTAGAACAGACAGAAACTTACTTTAGAACAAATGATATGATGGATACTCCAACAACAATGAAGTCCAAGATATTGAAGAAACTTCGGCAAAATGAACCTCTGTGCAAAATAAGTCCATAAGTGATGATCTACAACGAAAAAAAGTTTAATATTCATCAACAATCTGTAATAAAACAGTTCTTTATGAGACACAAAGCAGAGGATGCTAAAATACAAATAAGTTTACCTTGATTATAATCTCAACTGTGAAAACAGAAGTAAAAAATATGTCAAAGTAGTTCAGGATCTGAAATGTAAATCACACAATGTAAAAAATCAACAAAAAAAAGTGCAACATTACCATAACCATTTAACATTCAAAACAATTAAAAACATAATTAACCATACATAAATTTATAACACATATCTGATTTAATGAATTAGGCACTGTAGAACTGTTGTATTATATAAAGGGACTGGTACCACACTTACTTCATTTCTCTTGGACTCTGACTGTAGAGGGTCCTCTGCAGCTAACATCCCACTACTGATCAGAATACACGCCAATACAATGTTACCAAAGTAGGGGTGGTTACAGATCCTGTGGCAGATCTTACGGAACCTATCAAATAGAATAGAGAGTTTACAAAACCTGTCAAATTAAAAAGTTAACACAATGGATAACAGCTCCATCACAGAGCTGTAGGATGTCTCTCCCTCAGGACTAGACTGTCTTAATGTACCTAAATTGTTATAATTATGCTAGGACTTATTTTTAGCTCTACAGTTTATTCTATTGATATTTACCAGTTATAGTGGTAAGATATTTACCAGTTATAGTGGTAAAATGTAATTCTGTGTGGGAAAAAGTACCACGCCTTGCACAAACTCTGGACTCTTTAAAACTTAAATTTACTGCTTTGACACATTCTTGTACATATTTCATAAATCTATACAGATCTTCTTTTTATTTTTGAATGTCCTGCTTTGACATTCTGTAGGACTTACTTGTTGGTGGGTTTTACTTTTGAATGTCCTGCTTTGACATTCTGTAGGATTTTTGAACTACTTGTTGGTGGGTTTTATTTTTGAATGTCCTGCTTTGACATTCTGTAGGATTTTTGAACTACTTGTTGGTGGGTTTTATTTTTGAATGTCCTGCTTTGACATTCTGTAGGACTTACTTGTTGGTGTGTTTTTGACTTACTTGTTGGTGGGTTTTAAAATGAAGAGTGAAGTAGCCTTAGGAATAGGTTTGATTTTCTCGGGAATGTGGAGTTCTGACATTCGTCGTGGTCGGGCTGTTGAGGGTGCCTGAGACTCCTCCTCCTCATCCTCAAGCTCCTCCATGTCCTCCTCATCTGCTTCATCCTCAGCAGCAGCCTCCCCCTCTACAACACACAACTCTAAATCATTAACCTCTTGAGCTCACCTCACACAGAAATAACCAACAGGCCTAAATTACTTTATGGGTGTCACCTGAAACTGCTGACAAATGGAATACTTAAGTTTTGCAAAGTACTAGTAACTGGAGTATCTGCAGGACTTCTTTAATTAAGTGGTCTTCATTGAAAAAAATGCCAACATGAACTTCATGACTGGTAATCAAAAGACCACTCTAAAAGGAAAGACTGACGATAAAGGACAAAGCAACATCAACATCTCTACCAATTCCAGACTTGACCCAATAAATTAAATAAACTAGAGCTGTGAAATCAATATCCCAGGCCGGGAACAATAATAACAAGACATATTTTGAACACTATTGACCAATGCATCCAATGTTGATGAGCAAACTTGATTTTAAATTCATTTTGATAAGCTTGGGGAAAACTATATTCTCTGTTTGAAAGCTGCTAAACCACTTGTGAGAAGCTGGGAAGAGACATAGAACTTAAACCTGAGTTTGTGTCTACAGACATGGACAGACAGGCAGATAAATTAAGGGATTTTATGTGTGGAGTATAGGTATTAGATCACACCTTAAGCTAAGACACATCATAAAGCTAAAACAAACAGACCATAAATAGAACATTCCTGTCTATTCAGACTGTAGAAAGATAACATCTGTCTAATACAGCATGTAGATAATGGTTTCCTTATAATTAACTTGTGTTTTCTTTTAATTGTTAACAATTTTTCTCCAACACTAGGTCCTTAATCTCTTTAATTGTCACAAGACACGAGGCCTCTACGATGTCATAATAAACTGACAGCAGAGTTCGCCTTTTTCAAAGTGACACTGTTGACAACTGCTGGTTTTGTTTCACTGACACATTCATGCATTTAAAAAAGCAAGGAAATTTTGGGTAGTCCATTAAATGTGTTCAATAATACATGTATATGAACTTATAGTTATTTCACGAATGCTTATTATTGCTATTATAAGTAATACACAAATGTCACATCTAATTAATCAACAGATGTCCATGCATATTAATAGACAAGCATGCAAATGTGTTAGTGTTCTAACCTGCAAATATTTTAAACATTTTTAAAGAGCACAAACTTATCATGTTTCCCTTAATTGTTCTCATCATGTTTTTCATTTTTTTTTTTTTTTGGTGAGGAAGTGCCAACAAGAACTTTTTAAAAGTTCTTTACATGTGGAAAAAAAGGAAATATGAGACAATATGTAAAACTAAATCACTACAAGTAAACTTAATTACAAAAAAAAAAAAAAAAAAAAAAAAAAATACGGCAAAAAAAAAAGAAAAATGACGAAATATAGCAACAAATGACACTATGACGAATTGTCTGTGATTACCTAGGAGATCAAACGAGCTGGTGTCACTGGCACACGGATCGTCTTCTTCTGGGTAATAAAAAACGAGGATTCAAATTCTGGGTTAGTGCAACAGGGGGAATCAAACATTATAGATCTGGCTAACCTTTATCCATTACACTATATCTGGTTATACATCTTGTTAAATAGTTGACATGCTTGGCAAGAAAACATACATATATTTTATAACTGTGTTGTTATCCGTTTATATTTCATTTGTTACAAGTAGAGTAATCAACAGGCCTATAGAAGGCAAGTAACAAATGAATAAAAAAAAATTCTAGTCAGAAAATAAAAACACTTTACAGCTTCATTATAAAATCAAATAAATTTACAAAGCTAATTTTGCCAAGGGCAAGCTGTGATTGTAAGCAAAAAAGCTGGAGTAACTAGTTATTATTAAACAATGCGTTCTCAAAGATTTTACAGGACACCTTGACAAATGTCATCCGAAACTAGGACACTCTAACACAATCAGGAAGATTGTTACTTTATTTGATATAATTTATGTCTCATGCAATACCCCTGCAGGTTACTGTCCAAGTAAAATTATTAAAGTAGAATTAACAATGTTAAATGTAGAAACTTGCTCCAAAAACATTAAACATGTTAAACATGGGCACAAAATAGGAAAACTTTATTATGGTGCCCATGGCAATTGAGGCAGAAGTAATGCAAGTACAAGTATATATATTCACCTCCATTTGAAATATCCATACAAGTTTAGTCAATGTTAATTAAGAATCAAAGAAACGTTAGGAATGGATTAGCTCCGAAAGCAAAACATTTTCCCTCAATAAACCTTGCAATTTTAGCCAAGTATAACCTGGCTTATATGAAATTCCTAGAAATAGCCCCATACAAAAGGCATCATTTTTTAGTGAGGATTCAATTTTGGCATTATTACTGAAATTCTTGAGGTCACTTAAATTGGATATCTCTAATAATTCAATCTGCACAGGAGGTAGCAGCTATATTTCTCGACATCATAAATTGCTAAAAATTACTTCTTGCTAAAAATATAGACCAGTTTTTAAGGACAAATTCCTAAAACTGTTCCACTAAAAATTCCACTTATACGGTATTAGTACATGTATTAAGACAAGCTTATGGTACAAAATGGAACAATGAACTGTATGGGATGGTGGGATGGTAATTGTGAAGGAAAGTCCTCCCAGACTTTGTCAAGGTGACCTAAAAACTTTGTTATTAATGAAATAAAGGCATAAAACATATATATGTAATGAACCTTCTTCAAAAACACAGACACTTCACAATGTATAATGGTAAAAACACTCAGAAGAAAACAAGCTACTCGATAATGAATGTAGATAACATATCAGTTACTATTTATCAACCCAACTGCTGAAAGATTCTAACATATTTCTGTCTCTTTCATAGGCTTTCCTTAGAAATGGATGGTATAACTGGATGTCATAGAAATATACATGTATGACCTATATTGTGAGAAAAGAATTGCCATAATTCCTAGAATTTGTGTCATTCACCAATGCTCTACAAACTGCAGGTTCTCCTACATATAATGGGTCTCCCATTATAGAAAAAAAAACATTGTAAAAAAGGGGGGGAAATGCTTGTCTGGCTCTTGTGATATTTGGAATTAGATCATAAGATCATAAAGTGGCTGAAATTTGTATTCTCCTATCATTGCTTTCAGGGGAATAATACACCACAGTGGGAAAAGGGAAGGATCAGGTAGATTTAGGAAAAGAACGTACCCTCAATAGGTACATGGTTTGAATCTCTGTATTCATCCTCTGTGTGTCCTAGGTTGATTCTTACTCGGTGTTCATCTGTCTCTGGACCAACATCTTGCCTACAATTATCCCATCTTTAATAAGAAAACCTTACAACTACATCCCAATAAAAGTATTGCAAATCAGATCTACCATACATCAGTTCTTCTGAAACTGCTTGCTGTTTGTTTTGTTTCTTTCACTATAGGATGACTGTTTTATGCTCTACAGTATACAGAGTCCTTGACCTGATTATGAGTTGACACATTACCTTGACCTGTGTGACCTCTGACTTGGTTGTCTAGAATGGTAAGCATTCTCTTCCTCTCCACCATTTTCATTCATTCCAACTCCTTCATCTGGTTCCAGCTCTGCTTCCTAAACAGAAAATAAAACAAAATTCTGTCAACCATCCATTGATAATTTGTCTGAGCAGGAACTGCCCAATGCACAACTCACTTAATTTAATAGTATATATACAACTAAACCTCATTGACTCAGTGGGACCAAGAAAAAAACTGAGATATATCCAAAGGTTTGAGATATTGAGGATAAAATACTTAAAGAATAAAATGCTTGGGACTTCTAAATCACTTCAATAAATGCACGGTATTTGAGATATCGGTGCTCGAGATACCAAAGTTCAGCTGTATATACAAGTACATGTATTTGTTCACAGTAAAATGATAATCTCTGCAGTATTTTGAAGTCAATAAAAAATGCAAAAAATATTATTGCAAAAATAATTCATCATAAATACTTGACAAGTCTCAGCTTTTTTAAATGCAGAAACTTGAATGTTCAAACTGCCAAAATTTCAGGTGTAAAAATGACCCATTCCTTAGTTCAGCCCTGATTCATTAGTACAACTCAGCCCCAGTTCACAGTAACTACACAGCACTGGGTCCATAGTTATTACTATGCCCCAGTTCACAGTAACTACACAGCACTGAGTCCACAGTTATTACTAAGCCCCAGTTCACAGTAACTAAACAGCACTGAGTCCACAGTTATTACTAAGCCCCAGTTCACAGTAACTACACAGCACTGAGTCCATAGTTATTACTAAGCCCCAGTTCACAGTAACAACACAGCACTGAGTCCACAGTTATTACTAAGCCCCAGTTCACAGTAACTACACAGCACTGAGTCCACAATTATTACTAAGCCCCAGTTCACAGTAACTACACAGCACTGAGTCATAGTTATTACTAAACCCCAGTTCACAGTAACTACTCTGAGAAGATTAACGTAAATTGCTCTGAGCCCACAATAACTACACGGCCCTGAGTTCACAATAACTACTCAGCCCTGAGTCCACAATACTACTCAGTTCTGAGTCCATAACAACTAAAGCCCGAGTCCACTGTAACTACTAAGGCCTAAGTCCATAGTAACTATGCAGCCCTGAGTCCACAGTAACTACACAGCCTTGAGTCCACAGTAACTACGATGTACTCAGTTCTGAGTCCACAGTAACTACACAGCCCTCAGTTCACAATATATGTAACTACTCAGCCCTGAGTCCACTCATTTCTGAGTCCACAGTAACTACTAAGGCCCAAGTCCATAGTAACCAGGGCTTTCACACCCATTTTTTACTGGGGCCGGGGCCAAAGGGATTTGGAAAAAAGCGTTGTTTTTATAAAAATTGGGAAATTTTTACCAGTCATAATTTTATCTCTTGAAACAAGAAAAATCAAATAAACACAGAATAATCATAGAAACTGAAAACAAATCATCTTATTTATTCAAGGTAGATCTTAATTAGACAAGTAAATGGCTGTTCAGATGTTTAGAACTTTAAAATAAAATGTTTGTCTTTAGATGTCCTGAAATGCTCTAGGGCAGGGTTTCAGTAACCACTAACTCAGAATCTGTTAATTGTAGAGCGGCAGTTTGTTGTTTAAACAAAGTGTCTATTTTCTTACATTTGTCAGCTCTCTTAGTAGAAATCTTTTTTTCTATAGTATTCGCATTAATATTATGCGACATGTTTGTGAATAAACAAGTCGTACCTAAGAGAATTCGTAATTTACTATAGTTGACTTTCGCTTTCATATTAAACTGGTTCCAGCATGTATACGAACTACCAGTTTACAACACGGAAGTGTTTCCTTCATATCTTCACAGTGCTTTTACGACCGTCAAAGATATGCTTTTTATTTTTTTTTTACAGTAATAAATTTTAAGCAATCATACATTGGGAATTTTTAAAGTCAAATTTGGGGAAAAGGGTGCCTTTTTCACGTTGGGAACGGGGCCGAATATCAGCCCCAATTAAATAGAATCGAGAGCCCTGGTAACTATGCAGTCCTAAGTTCACAGTAACTACACAGCCTTGAGTCCACAGTAACTACTCAGTTCTGAGTCAACAGTAACTACAAAGCCCTGAGTCCATAGTTACTACACAGCCCTGAGTCCTCTGTTTCTATTTAGCCCTGAGTAACTAAGTGATACCTACTTTGGACTTTTCCTCCCCCTCTGGTGTTTTGGATCGCCGTAGTGATCGTATCCTCTCCTTTTCATCCTCCTTTTCACCCTCTTCCTCCGTCAGACTCTGGGCATCGGCCAAGTTGTCCACAGCGATAGCCAAGAAGACGTTCAGTAGGATATCTATATCTTTGTCAAGGAAACTGCTGTCTCATGTATATTTATTCAATAAAGTCACAATTATTTAATAAATTTTAAGATTTAATCCTTACTTGAATGTTTTAGCTATAGTGATCCTAGTTGTTCTATTACTCTGGTAGTTTTAGCTTTGTTTAGTGTAAAGGATACAGTTACCACAGATGAAGAGGATGACAAAGTACAGACAGGTAATTAAGCCTAGAGAGTTGACACCGCCGTACGAGTTAATGCCATTGTACATCACCATATTCCAGTCCTCACCAGTCAAAATCTACAACAGGTCAATACGTCATTAAATCTACAGGAAAATGTCTTCAAAAAAGATTCTTATCATAAAGAAGTGAAATAATCTGAAATATTAATCAAATTTATGTTCATTCATTGACCAATACTTTGTGCTTAGCCATGAATACAGCAGGGTATAAAAAATGGATCCCTCTTTTCACTACTGCATACATGTAATATGTACAGGCTGTACGCAAAATGTACAGTTTTTTGAGCCCATTCATCGTGTACCGGCGGGACACCAAAATTCACGGAATATGAAAATTTGTACAGTATTTTGAATTTCTCGCTAAATGCCGCCATTTTCCTCTCATTCTCGCTCGCGAGACACTGAAAAACGTTACCATTTTCTTGTACCGTTTTTTGATAAGCAGTATACAGTTTTTTTACCCAAATTCCAGTTTTTTTATGGCTCCTGTACAGTTTTGTGGTCTTTGACTTATCACATGTATGCTACTGGGCCCAGTGCTTAAAAAATGATTATGAAGACACTGTAAATTCTTTTTTTCTTTTGCTGATGGACAATCCTTGTCTGAAACTGTGTAAGTTATATACCTGGAACACTGTCAGGAGAGACTGCCAGAACGTGTCAAAGTTACTGCGGGGTTTGTCCTCTATCTTACTGATGATGTTGAACTTGCCTCCAAACAACTGCATACCGAGTAAGGCACAGATTACAATGAAGAGGAATAAGAGAAGTAACAAGCTGGCAATGGAGCGCATACTGTTTAACAGGGAGGCCACCAGGTTACGAAGGGAGGACCAGTATCTAAAAATAATCATTCACCATAAACAGTGAAATACTGCTAGTGGTCACCAGGGTTACCTTATTTTGATGCATATTGTATTTAATGTGGAAACAACTTTTGACTTTGTTACAATCAACTTGTTTCAATGTTCATGTTTGCTAATGTAAATCAAACCTTTTCATTTAAAATACAGGTCTGAAAATGTTCAACCCAATAAAAAGGAATCTGACTTCTCATATACAAAAATCTTATATATCTACCAAAATATGAAAGGCTAAAAATGATCTTGCTTTAGCATTTATTATTTGACAATTGACATACATTTCTGTAAGATATTCCCAATACGTAATTTATTCTTGGATAGAGATGTAATATTACAGCATGAATGATTTCTGTCTTACCTTGTAGCTTTAAAAACACGAAGCAATCGAGCACATCTGAGCACACTGACTCCTAGGGGTGGAAAGACATTGGTGTAAATGAGAATGACTTCTATGATGCTAAACAGGACAACAAAACTGTCAAAACGGTTAAATAACGAGACAAAGTAGCCTTGTAGTCCCAGACTGTACATCTTCAACAACATCTCCAGGGTGAACAGGATCACAAAGAACAAATTGGCAATTGCTGCAAAACAGAAAATGTAGTCAATACATTTCATACTTATATCATTGAGGTTGCAAAGAGATTATGCATTACATTTAAATAAAATCACACTCTGCCAGTTGTCAAATCAATTTCACAAACAATGCTTAATAGGACATTTTATTGTTGTAAAAAGATTAAGCATTTTTAAAGAAAATCCACCTGTGCCAATTGTCAATTCCGTTTCACAGTCATAACTGCTCAAAGAGACACTTCAATTTTTGTTAACGTGTGTTGCAGTTTTCTGTGAAATCTCAGACAGCTGATCCAATATAACTAACCTTGAAAGCTATCCAACCAATGGGGCTGTCCGTGATGTTCAGAAGTTAAAACACATGTATTCAGGAACACCATCACAATAACAGTCCAATAAAAAGCTTGGGATTTGACTAATTTTCTACACATCCGCCGACATCTCCTGTTCCATTTTCGTAACCTCCGACTGGAAGAAGGGGGGAAAAAATCAAAACACATATACATATATACAAGCTTCTCTTACCCCTTGCACTAAAACAAATTTAAAACAATGTACATTATTAATTTTAGTTTCCTATTAACTAAATTTTCTAGAATTCATGACTCTCAGCAAATCAGGTAAAAATTGTTTTAGTCTAGAATTTGTAGGGGTGTACTGTAGATGTACTTATATTAGCGGGTAATATTTTAGCATCTTTCTAACCACTTCTCCTAATTTATGTACATGCTAATACATAATTAAACCTTATACAAAGCATGACCTTAAACTGAAGAGGTCACTCTAGCCTAGATGAATGTTCATTTAGGTGGGTTTTTTTTAATTTTCCTATTTCATTGAGACTGTATATAAAGCCATGTGACTGATTGCTTTAGGGCGATGTGACTAGTTGTTTTAGGGCTGTGTGACTGATTGCTTTAGGGCCATGTGACTGATTGCTTTAGGGTCATGTGACTGACTGCTTTAGGGTCATGTGACTGATTGCTTTAGGGTCATGTGACTGACTGCTTTAGGGTCATGTGACTGATTGCTTTATGGCCATGTGACTGATTGTTTTAGGGCCATGTGACTGATTGCCTTAGGGCCATATGACTGACTGCTTTAGGGCCAAGTGACTGATTGCCCTAGGACAATGTGACTGACTGCTTGCCTACCTTTTTCTGTGCCACCACGTCTGTTGAATCTCCCCACTCTCTACATCCTCTGTCTTCACTGATGTCGTCTCCTGGTTTTCTGAGAAATTCAAGAGAACACAATAAACTTGAAGTACAATAATTCCAAGTTATGATGAAAATATTTAAAGCTTGGTTATTTTTATTTATATATATAGATTATATAATGAACAGTGTAAATTCTTGGTATATTGCAATTTACAAGCATGTAAATGTCTGCTTTGGAAAAATTGAAACAGCACCAGTATTAATAATTTGTAAAATAAATATATATTTTGTGCCATCAATCGAACAAAGAAATTTTTGGAAAAGTGCCAACATCTAAAAGGGTCAAGACATTTCAAAAATGTTGGTGACATTTTCTTTCTATGTTAAATAAAAAAGAAAAGGGATGAGGTTTGCAATGATTGTCCTCATATACTTTATAACATGCTCTGAATATAAAGGGAAAAAGATTCAAGATGGATATGCTGAAAAAAATCACTCTCTAATGGAACACTAAAAAAACAGCAGGGATAGGGAAATGACAAAAGAGCAGAAAGAACATCAGATTTGTTTCTTGAGGTACTGAGAATAAGAAAAAAAGAAGCATATCGTGTAGCAACAATCAGGGTATAGAGCCACATCACGAAACCTCAGAGGTGCCACAGACCAACAAGCTGTCCTACCAAAGACAACTTAGTCATTACTTCATTTGCATATACAAGTAGAAAATGGAAATAGCTTGAGAATGGAACCTTGGAATCAACATTTTTATACATGTAAATCATATTTTCTTAATCACATCATTTATGATAATTGGAATAGATTTTCTCCCTTGATGTATGTTATTGCATTACTTATAATCATTTGGGTAACTAAATACTGTAACGAGGGAAAATCAATTATATGTAAAGATCTTTTTCAGAAACATTCTAAAGTTAACCCTACTTCTTCTATAACTGAACTGTAAATAGTAAGGCGTTTTAGCTCTCATCTCCAATGGTTGTATTTGAAACTGTACCAAAACAACAAAATCATTCTGAGTTTTGATTCAGCAGAGTTAAATCTGAGGTGAATGCATTCAGAAAAAATAAAACATGGGGCTATTTCTGGTTGATTTACAGAAATATATCTCAAGTCTATTTATTCATTTTAAGAAATCAGCATATTACCTTCTCACAATACTCTTCAATACAAGTCAAGGACAACTAATCATTTCTCCCAACCAAACACTTAAAAACAATCATTTCTAAATCATTATTTTGTCTCCTTGAACAAAAATTCATTTTTACAATATACTCTTCAAAGTTCTTTAATAACTAAATCCTACGATTCCCAATACATGTACCTCACTGTTTTCTCCCATCTATATACCTATAGTATTATCAATGGCAACCTCCTTATTTTGTATTAAAATTCCAAATTTCCCTAAGAACATCCTTTAGTCCATATTTCATTTAAACCTTGATAAAATCTTTCTCACTAACTACCACCTGATCTCCCCTGACACCCCCCTGAATTCTCCCTGACACCTTGATACATCCACTGAGTTCCCTGGCACCTCTGATACTCACTGTGGCGGGGAGTAGCACCTTCTTCATTTTCTTCCTCATTTTCCGGGTCTATATCTTCTGCCTGAGTAATCCAGTCAAGATATCCCCGAAGATCTTCTTCCAGTTGCTTCTTCTCTCGCAGCTTCTGAAAATCACCCCGAGCTTTGGCTTTCTCTCTCTCTTTAGAAAATTCACTGAAAGCAGAATTCTTTCAGAATAAAGTGAATTTAAAAGAAACAATTTCAATCAAATTTGTCTGTGCATGTACCTTTTACTGACATTAAGAAACCCAGAAATACCATACTTACCCACTAAGTACACCTAAAACTAAGTTGAGTACAAAAAATGATCCAATAATGATTAAACTTATGAAGTATATCCAAGGCCAGCTATTTCCTAGTGAATCATTAATCTGAAATAGAAAAGCCTCGGATTAATTACATATCTTCTCAATTCCAAAGCTACAACAGTCAATGAACTGTAAGTAATGATTCCAAAAAATAATTTGTTACATTAAATTTATGTCACTTTGTTGCATGACATGATGGTGATACCTACATTATATAAGACATCTGTCCATCCTTCTAATGTGATACATTGGAATACTGTTAACATCGCTAAACCAAAGTTATCAAAGTTTGTGATTCCATCGTTTGGGCCAGCCCAATATTTCTGACACACTGAGTCATTAGGACAAGAAAAGCCTTTCCCACAGGGATGGACATTAGAAAGAGTCATGACGGAATCTAGAAATAAAAAAGAACAATTCATCATTTTCCAGCATCTCTTTTCTGTTCAGCTGGTCCTAATCCTCTATATTACTTACCATTCACTGTCAATCAGCTCAAACCAACTTATATAAGAGTTCAGACTTAAATAAGACTGCTATCTTCTAGTCAACTTAAGTCAACTCTAAGGTAACAGTTTCCTGAACAAAAATATATCCTTAAAAAGTATTAGAACTGGACATTGCCTTTTGTAAAGCATCATTCTATCAGGGTATTGGAAACAGAGGAAAAAAAACTCTTACTTGTTTCTTTATCAAAACATGTTTCATGCATGGATCCTGAGAAAAGTTCTAATCCAACGATGGCATATATAAATATGACAAAGATCACAAGCAAAGCTATATGAAGTAAAGGCACCATGGCACGCACAATTGCGTTAAGCACCACCTGAAGACCTGAAAAGAAACCACACAATATATGTAAGCACCACCTAAGACCTGAAAGTAAACCATGCACATATTCATATCATGTCCAAAGCTTCAATGGGATTTTGGGCTCTCAAATTATATTTTTATTTTGAAATGAATTAGAGAACAGTGACATTATATTTTTCACAAAATTCTTATATTTTACTGGTATGTGTAAAATGTAACTATAATAATTATGACTTTTGATTTTTATATACTATTCTGCCTTAGCTTTATCAAACAGGGCTGAAAATGGCATGCAAAAACAAGTTAGTTAATGTTAAATAAACAAACACATAAAAAGCAATCAAAATCAATTACTAAAAATACTAATATAAATCTGTGTACCATAATGTAAGGTCCATTGTAATTAGTTTCTTAAGTTTCCTAATTAAACAGAGGAAAAAAATATATAAACATTAAAAAAATTCTGCTTGAATTGTAATTTGTTTCAAATATTACCAATGTTGACAATTGTTCATACGATTCATCTATATATATATATGGTCGAAGATTGGTTAACAGCTTTTTGAAAATGGAATAAATTAGAACACACATGTCTCTTAATTTTTCCGTATTTATTTCACTTGCATGTTGGACTTTTTTTTGTTGTTGTCATTTTTGCCTATGCCTGTGGACTACATGTTGTGCATATTTTGAGGCAATTTAAAGTTAAATCTTTCTTACTTAATTAGCATATAACATAGAGCAATTTAGTTAAATAAAAAAAAAGTTTTCTGGACCTTAGCTTGACAAAGGTGATAAAAGAGAGGGCTTCAATGGAATTAGTAATTTTGAAATTAAAATATTATTAAATAATAAAAATTTTATGAAAAGAACACACAAAAGTAATTTTGCAAATTTTGCTTGGCCTTAATTTTAAAATGCATTTGTGACAAACTAGTACCAATTTAATTTTCCTTCGATTAAATCAGAAACTAAAAAATTTAAGGACATTAATCTCTGAACATATATAATTTTTATATATATTTCTTGCCAGATTATATCCAATATGGGTGTAATGCTTTGCCTATACCAATGTTATATTTCAATTGATAAATTACAGCACCTGTCTTCAATCACTCAGAACTTGTTAATGTACTTTTTCTGCCCACATAACCCCCTTAATCTGCCATTCCCTCATACCAAGCATAGTGTTATACATCTACCACTGCAGAAGCCCCATCTGATTCTTCCCTCACCTGGCTTTTATTATCTATCTTTATTGAGAAACCATAGGAATCAAGCTGCCAGTTACAGAATTCATGTAGGTTTTGTTATATTGGGATTTCACTGTTTGATTATAATTTCACTTTACATCATTGTTTTCTTTTTGGAATATCATTCACGATTTCATCCCACAAAAAAATATATAAGTAAAATATTGGGGGGAAAAATTACACATCAGCTTTTTAAGTATTTATTAAATAGTTTTGGCCACACTAAGAAATAAGTATAAAAGAATACACAAACAGAGCAGACACATCATGATAAAATAAGACAATATTCTACAACCAAACATACAGATACAGAAAAAAGGCATTGTTAGGGATCACACAGGACATTCCTTTAAATCCACACTACAATTAATGTTCACATATTGGGACAAGGGAGATAATGTATGCCACAGCATAGCAATACTGGTGGATCAGACTCTGTCTCTGCTGTTATGTGATGGTAAGTGATGCATTGAAAATAGCTGTCACTATAGCACTCTGCTTTTCTTGAAATGTACAAGAAACTAACAAATTAGTTAGGTATACTGGTGTCATGACACACATATCATTGTATGACAGTTATGTCTTTAATAGATGCACTTTTCTGTGATATAATATTTTTCAGTAAATGCATTGACAATGGAAAACAATAGCTGAGATTTGGAATGATCATTACCCTGTATTATGCTGTGCATATACATATAACTCCTTCTTATTTTTAGAAAGCCCTGCGGTGCCTGAATGTATGACAGGTTTGTGTCCTGTTCATAGAAATACAGAAATGGCGCAGTTTTTTCTTTGTAGAAGCAAATCTTTATCATTTAGACTATGGAAAATTCAAAAGTCTATCTGACGCTACATTGTATAGGTTTAAAAAAAAGGAGACCAAAAATGCTCAAAACTATAGATGCACTGGGTAAAAAATCTGAAAAGCTACGTATATGACCATTTACATTGCCTTTTCAACCTTTTACTACAGTAGAGGAGAATTTCAATGAAATAATTTATCTAGATTACTTTGCCATTATACCCAATTATAATGAAAATTTATATTTTTCCCACATTTTTTTTCTCCATGTTTTAAAGAAGTAACATGAAATATATTTGTACATACATGTAGATACTCCAAGACTTGCTTATATATCTCTTATAATCATCAAGTTCCTTAGTGAAGGGAGGAAATTATTTCTGTACATTTCAAACAATAAAAGTGACTTTAAATTGTTATTAATTTTAAAAATTAAGGGGAGAAGAAAAATATTTCTTAAAAAGTGACAAAATTAGTTGTTAGGCTTTATTTTGATTTAGAAAAGGTAATTAAGTTAATCATTAACCATTGTTAAATTTATGAAGTTGCCTTTATACCTTAGGACAATGAATCATGCTTTCAAAAAATGACAAAAAAAGAGAAAGAAAAAGAGATCTTTTTTATGATACTAATTTTTTCTCTACAGGAGTCATGTGTCAGTGTGGTTTATTTTATGATACTAATTTTTTTCTCTACAGGAGTTCTGGATCAGTGTGGTTTACTGTAGTAGGCTCATTTATGGATGTAATCAGTACTTATTGTCAAGTGCTAAAGAATGACAGGACACCGATAAAAAAAAATACAAAAAACACCTAGATACTTACTGGGCACGCCTGAAACCAGACGTAGGGGTCGCAGAACCCTAAATGCTCGCAGGGCTTTTACATCAAAATTACTGATGTTCATTGTCGATAAGACAGTGCTTATAATACTGAAACGAAGAGGGAAGAAGCTACAACCCATGCTAAAAAACACAACCCATCTGCCATCTTAGTGGCTATTCTCAAAATTTCTCTTTCCAGCAATGAGATTGCTAAAAATATCAACCCTAAACCCCCAAAACACAGGAGCTTTCCATGTTTATCAAATAACAGATCTCTTTAATTTCATCAATTCAATTCCGTTACAGTATCGTATGTAGCTTTTTTGTCCATATACCAAAAAACTGGTATTCCAAAAGAGCTACAACAACTACTGTACTTCATAGAAACATGGGTTGGTTTACACATATACAATGACTGTTAATCATAAGCAGTATAAACTCCTCCTCCAGATTGCAAGCAGTAAAACAGAAAAAAAAGATATAAGGGTTAGAAGATTAGTCCACTAAGGCCACCTCCTATGCTGTGTTGGTTACTTACTAGGGGCCCGCGAGACCAATCGTAAGGGCCGTAACACCCTGAAGGCTCGCAACGCCTTAACATCAAATCCATATACATTTAACAAAGATAGCACTGGTGTTATAATACTGAAAACAAAACAGTTTAGAATTATTTTAAATCATTTCAATTATTCCTTAGTCTTAAGTATTCCAAAATGGATTGATCCATGATGCAGCAAATGATCTGTAAATAATAAATATACGTATGATATGAGTACCATCTGCGAGTTACTGCACTTCTGAAAGGAATATGTCATGTTACAGTACAAACAAGCAATAAGGATTTCTAAAGCAGACATGATCATAAACATCCATATGCAATGAATCATCTCCATTGTTAAAAATATACTTTGTTACAGATCCATGAATTATCTTGGTTAATTTTTAATCACATATTAAGCATTCTGACTTTTAAGTGTTTTATCTAAATAATCATTTTTCATGTCATATATTATGATTAACAACATTCAGTGAAATGAACTTTGTCAAAAAAAAAAACACAAAGGATAACTGGATATAAAAACTTGACACCGACATGGGCATACAAATAATTCTTTAAAATTAACAGAACCACAATAAGATACATGGAATAGGGAGAATAAAAGATTTGTACTTGATTTAGTGAAAATGAACTGTATAAACAAATATGTCTACATCAAGAAGTGCAAGGATATGACACGATGGACAATGTGTGATGACCAAAGACAGAACATTTATGTTTGTATTAAAACTGAAAAAAAAAATCTCTGCCTGTTGGGAACAACATAGAAAATGACCAAGCAATGCTTCAATTAAGAATTAGATTCTTTGAAGCAATGTATTAAATGTATATTCACCTAATATCAAAGACCTGCCTTCTTTTTAACTTGAATGTGTCTATTGATTGAGATGAACTGGTCTTTTACTAACTTGGCATATCTTGAATGAGAGACTAATGAACACAGAAAATCAAAATGAGGTTAACGAGAAGTAAGGGCAAACATAGGTACTTTAACCTGGTCACTCATTCAGAAAATGTAAGTCAAATCCAGCATCTGAAGCAAGTTCTCGAGTGTTCATCCCTTGTTGCATCATCCATAAAAGTTTGGTTCAGATAGGCCTTACAGTTTTTTGGTAATGGACCTGCTCAAAAAACTTTAACCTGGTCACTCATCTGGAAAATGTGGTCAGACCCAGCATCCAAAGCAAGTCCAGTAGCGTGCATCCTTAGATGTATCATCCATGCAAGTTGTTCAACATAAGGCTTATAATTACTTTAGAATGAACAGCTCCAAAAAACTTTAACATGCTCACTCATCCAGAAAATGTAGGTCAGATCCAGCATCTGAAGCAAGCCTAGTAATGTGCATCTTTAGATGTATCATCCATCCAAGTTTGTGCAATAGAGGGCTTATAGTTACTTGTAAATGAGACTTGCTCAAATAACTTTTAACCTGTTCCAAAAACTTAAAGCCACTCTAAAAACATTAACCTGGTCATTCTTTAGCTGAAATTGCAGCATCTGAAACCATGACTGGTACAATGAAACATACTAGAAGCATTTTCCATGCATCTCTGATTAATATACGGCATAGAAGTACTTGAAAAGAAATCTGCTCAAAAACTTGAACCACGGACGATGACGCCAAGGGTATTACCTAGGGTCCCCCCAACTTTGTTGAGGTGAACTAAAAAAGCATCATTTATTGAGTATCCTCAGCAGTTTGACATACTTATTAAACTTCCCTAAACTCAATGACAAATGGCTCACTGAAGATGTACGATGTTATCTCTATAGTGACAAACTAAGAACAGCAAATGACCGTGAAGTTGTTTGAAGCGAAACCTCTAAATTACTGCAAAATAACCAATAAAATAGTTCTCTTATTTTCAAAAAATGATATTAAATAATACAAAAACTAGAGTGATTAAAATTTTGTGGCTCGATTTGCACACAAAATCTGTGGTGACAGAAGCCACAACATCTAGTGGTCACTATAGACATTATAAACAGCATGCACTAAATTGTACTCACATTATAAAGATTGAGATAAGACTAACCAACAGAAAGAAAATCAGTGTCATGTGATTGATGCTCTTAAACTCGTACCAAACTCATTCAATCTCATACTACGTACTCAATGGGTTTTGCATAATGTTCTCTTTTTTTTAATCATCGTAAATCTTTTTTTCAAACTAAGTTTATTTTTTGTTATTTTCCTTTTTTATACACATATAAACATTAAGGACCCTAAAGCCCACATTGCTAGCCTGATAAAGAAAAGCGAGTAGTGTGAATGCTACTGAAAGTAAAAAAAAAAAATCAATTTCAAATATAGCTGAAGAAATTTATTTAAGTGTGTGTTTTTTTGGGGTTTTTTTTTTGGGGGGGGGGGGGGGGGGTCAAATCTGCAAATAAAATTAACACAAAGTTTCCTTAACAATTTTACATATTTCATTAACTTCAGCACTTAAAAAATACAGGAATAAAATTTCTTTCGCATAGTACATTTCTGACATATCAAGTTTATAGACAATTTGTTGAATAAAATTAAACAGATACTATCTCTTAAATAACTATCAAGTCAAATATCTACAGTAGTTGATTTATTTCTATAAAACAAACTACATTCCTTTTCATAACTGCATTTGGTGTTACTCTTTCCAGTATAATGCTTAATATAAAGAAACAAATTTAAAATCAAGTAAAAAAAAAAATGGGCATTAGGCAATTGGCAAAATTGGCTTGATAATGATAGAATCTATAAATGTAGTGATTATAGAGTAAAAAAATATAGTACCTAAACGTTACTATACAGAAGAACTCCTAAAAGCATAAAACTAGAGATCTCACATATAACCATCATAGCAATCTTGAACTGTGTAACACATGTTCTACTTTTTTTTCAATTAAAATCAAAGTTAAATAAAGTTTCAAACTTCTCATCAATATCTGATTGATTTTTTTTTTGGCTGTAACTTTTAAAAAAAATTTTGTTTTTGTTTTCGTTTTGTTTTGTTGTTTTTTTTTTTTTAATAAAAATTCTCAGCTGACGAAGCAAACAATTTTGGAATATATGTAAAACAAACTAAGCTTGCATTGTAGAAAGATAGCAACAACTACATGTATCAATAAATAAACAGAAAACTTTATATTTAAATCTGACAATGTCAGGAATAAACTTACCCAATAACTACAATTATAAAATCTAGGATGTTCCATCCGTTACGGAGGTAGGCACCTGAATGTAGCACGAATCCGTACGCTATAATTTTCATGATTGCTTCTAAGGTGAATATAACTAAAAAAAAATATTCCACTCTTTCCTGAAAATACAAATTTGAAGACATATAATTATGATGTTTAAAACAATGTCAAAATCAATCACATCTGAAGATACTATTTAAGGACATACACAACGTAGTTTGAATTTTATTGTCTTTTTCCCTGGAGTTGAAGAGTTCCAATACTTAAAGGAACTGTGTACTACACGAAATAATCTCTGATCAAGGTAGGTCAATCTATGATCAAAACATCATATTTACATTTCCAATGTCTTTGTCCGAGATAAAATTACAAACTGTAAAAATACTTTATTTCTACATAAATCTACTGGTTCATCGAGAGGCGTGGTTAAAAAAAATCACGTGCGGGGCGGGACAAATAGAGACAGAAGCGGGACTATTAGCACGGGAATTTGCAGAATCAGGAGCATGTAAATATAAGGAATAACTGTCAGATTTTTTGGATTCATGACGATGATCAATCGATTGGCTTGCGTGATAATTTTATGCATAAACGCCTTCGGCGTTTATGCAAATTATCACGCAAGCCACTCGATTGATCACATCATGAATCCAAAAAATTAGACAGTTATTCCTTAAATATACCTTTTTTGAGACATTAGTTATCTTTACTTAGATTTTGGTATGTGAGAATAGAAATGAAATTAAATAGAATGCCTGCTCTTAAATTTCCAACAGTGCAAGAATGAGGAACCAGTAACTTCCATTTAAAGCCACATTTCTTAAGTACAAAAATATGGGCCTAGAGTAAATATAGCAAATATGCCTTTAATACTACTATTTTATTTCAAAGTTCCAATAACCATAATGATAAAGGAGATAACCCTCCCTGGAATTAATGACTTTTACTCCTTTATTAAAGGACATAGGACATTTCTGTCAAATTTTGCATTGCAAGGTATGCTGAAATTCTGTGCATTTTAATTTTGAATTAGATTTCAGGAAAATCATAAGTGTCAAAGCAAAATTTTACTTAAATGACTAGGGGGATGTTGAACCTTAAGAAAAGTTCCAATGAGGTGATAACCATGGGAGTATACATTAATTTGCATAAGTGGTGAAGCTGCTTAAATATCATTCTCATAAACATACACAATAGACACTTATTAAGCATATTTACATATTTACTTCATTGGTTAATAAAATCCCTGCATCTGGATCAGATCTGGACGAGGCCTGGATTGATACATGGATACAATCATGTAGCCATACATACTTTAAAGAAACTATAATTTAACCTTCATCACCTTCCCCAACTCTAACCTCTATATCTCTTCCTTATCAATATATAATCCATACCTTCTAACATCATGAAAACTGAATCAGGACACAAATACATATGATGAGGTTATGAAAGTATAACCCCCGATTTTAAGTACTGCTATGATTATTAAAGACAAGGCATACATTGGCAAATGTAAATAAGTGCACTGCAATTTACATTGAAAAGACTGACTTCTTAATAAAACAATTTTTTTAATAAAGGAAAACAAATTTGATGCTTTTTTTTTCGGTACCCGATAAAATTTATATCGAATGCTCTGGAGTAACTGAATTTCAAGTTACAATTAATTATATAAACCAAATTTCCAGCAAAATAGGTAATGCAGATGTATAATTGTATCTATTTTCAAATATGATTTTATTAATTTACATAGAATGACATTCATTTATATTCTGCACTGCATGATCATGTAAATGACATATGGGTATTATACTTTTTTGCAAAGGAATTAAGGAAAAAAATTAGTTTCCATGAATTGCCGAAGTAAATTTCAGGACTTAATATAACAATTCTAATATCAATCCCAGATCATTTATCATATTAATGGTTAAAAAAACTGCCGAGATTAAAAATAAATCTTTCATCTTTCTTTATAAGCTAAAATTTGGTAACATTTTTAAATAAATTTATATATAGGAAAATCTTGCATTAAATAATGCTGGTAGATACATTTGTCAATGTTACACAATTCATTTAGTCTGTTTCACTGTCATCTATCTTCTCCTAAGAAAAGTGCTTAACAGATTTAATAACCCATCAAACCCTCAAACCTCAACATATATTTCAATGCCAAAAAATAATAATAACCTCTCATTATCATGTCCTATCAGGATTTAATCAAGAAAACTGCAAAATGAATGAAAGAAAATGGTGGCAGTTTTTTAGGACAATTTAGATCAGTTGTGTGTTGACTTCCTAACTTGTCCCTGCATTAGGCCAGCAATCGATAGTCTCTGATGCCATCAATATATCTATTCCAGAGGTGATCTGACACAAAGGTTCCTGATTCAAAACATAATGCACAGTAATCCTAAATGGAGGCAACAATCAATAGCTCCAACAACAAGGCAATTTTACAGTCTACGCGTCATCATTAAGGGCTCTCAACTACATAGGGTATGTCTGAAAATTATCAGGTGTCATTCGAGAATAGCAGATTGAATTATAAAAAATGCAGGCATTTAATGTATTAACAGTCAACATTATTCCAAGATGAAAATTACTATGGAAATAAGGGGTGGACAACTTCCAAAAAATGATTTGAGTATTATCACCAATGTCTTCCATATGGGCCAGATTCTCAAGTTCACATGGGACAGACTAAAAGCTAGTAACATATTAATCTTAATCTCCTCTTTTTTATGTAATTGTGAAGAGAAGCATCATCATACTAGGTTATGCAATTTCATTTTACAAAGAAGTGTGTTTTACAACAGCCATCTGTAGAATTCAGAGGGGGAAACTGGTATGGGTGGTGGTGAATTGTGCTGACTAGGCACTGATTGCAGCTATTCCTTAGATTAATTAGAGGAAATACTTGAAAAGGGTCCAAGTAACACATCCAAAGAAATTGTACATTGGCTGAGAATAATGAACTAGCCCTCAGTAGCTGTGACATATCTAATGCAGACAACTATTTTAGATCTGGTATCCATTTTAAGTTATATATCTGTGTGGGTTTGGGGTATTTTAGAATTTATATTGACAAAATTAGACTCTTCCAAGCCTCCAGTTTAATGTTAGTTTGTTATTCACCTTTTAACCAGAGTCTGGTGCTTACCTTTTAACCAGAGTTTGTTGTTATGCATTTACCAGAGTTTATGTGTTACCTTTTTACCATAGTTTTGGTGTTTATCTTTTAAACAAAATGTTGGTGCTTATTTTAACAGTTTTTGGTGCTTAAATGTTTACCAGAGTTTGGTGCTAATTTTATCATTGAATTTGATGCTCAACTGCCACTTCTAACAAGTGACTAACTTCCAGTTAGTAAGGTTAGGGTGTTGTAACTTTGACCACCTAATTAGGTAGGGTAGGTTGTTGTAACTTTGACCACCTAATTAGGTAGGTTAGGGTGTTGTAACTTTGACCACCTAATTAGGTAGGGTAGGGTGTTGTAACTTTGACCACCTAATAACCTAGGGTAGTGTGTTGTAACTTTGACCACCTAATAAGGTAGGGTACGGTGTTGTAACTTTGACCACCTAATTAGGTAGGGTAGGGTGTTGTAACTTTGACCACCTAATTAGGTAGGGTAGGGTGTTGTAACTTTGACCACCTAATTAGGTAGGGTAGGGTGTTGTAACTTTGCCAACTTAATTTGGTAGGGTAGAATGTTGTAACTTTGACCACCTAATTAGGTAGGGTACAGTGTTGTAGCTTTGACCACCTAATAAGGTAGGGTAGGGTGTTGTAACTTTGACCACCTAATAAGGTAGGGTAGGTTGTTGTAACTTTGACCACCTAATTAGGGTAGAGTGTTGTAACTTTCACCACTTGAGTGAAGTCATGTCACTGTTTTTATACTACAGCTTCTGCTGGAACTTTTACCCTTAGTGATATTCCTTGATGAACTTTCTTTGTTGCATACCATTTACCAAAATTTAGTTCCTACATTTCCACCATAGTTTTTGCCTATACTTTTTAGTAAAGATCAGGGCCTTTGTTTTCACCACAGATTGGTGCCTACCTTTTCACCTTTAAAAATGACTTCACTTACCAGTGCTGCATTAACCTCATTGGAATCCTGGTTTGGGTAAGGATGGAACACTGCTAGCGCTACACAGTTAGCAAAAATGGTCAGGAGAATAAGATACTCAAACGCTGTGAGAAATCAGTTAAGGCAAACAAATGTAGAGAATAATTATTAATATTAATGTCTCCATTTTCACATAATTAAGAACATAACATGTACATCCCTCTTTCCCTTTTCCATTTTTATATCCCTCCCTCTTTCCCCTTCTGCAAAAGAAAGAGCAGGCTCATAGAAAGGTGAATTCTACTACAAATAAAATCACAAAAGAATAACAAAGTAAGTTTAAAGTTTAAGATTATTTCCAAATACAGACTGCATGCCTTTTATATAATATTGCTGATAGACATTGATCATAATTGATATTAGACACTGCAGATAATACTAAACGGTACACATTTGAACAAGAATTCTTAAATGGGACTGTATAGCTACTTGGTTTGTTCTAATCATCATGGAAGAGAAATACTGGACTTGACACACTTTTCCCCCCTATTTTAATCTTTTCTTAACTTGTACCATATTTTCATTAAAATCAAACCAAAACTGTATGAATGTTAGCATTTTGAAAAGATTAGTTTACAGATTCCATTATAGTACTCAAGGCAACTTCTTTCATTGAAATTTTAAACTAATAAATGGATTTATGAGTCTTGGTATAATTTACCTGTGTATCAAGTTTTATTGAAAACAGACAAAACTATAGGAGAAGTACTGTTTGAAAAAATTAACACCTTATTCTATTTTTAGCATCCATGACATTGATATTAAAAAATCTTAATTGTGTCTTGATGTAATCTACTTGTGTACCAAGTTTTATTCAAAACATCCAAAAGCAACAGGAGGAGAAACACTCTGAAAATTGTTATAAGATGGACAGACAGACAGGCCATGGACACTTTACCATCCCACAAGCTGCTTTTAGTCTCTTACCAGTAGAGCTAAAATTCATGAATACATCAATTGTAATTTAAAAACACTTTCCTTGTCTTTTCATGTGATCTCACCCTTCTTTATGTATCAAGTACACACTTAGTTATGGTCTGGACAAAAACTTCACACTTCTACACCCTGTGTCCTTGCTGACCTCAACTTCTAATCATGACACACCCTCAAGCCATAATGTATCTTTTATGTCATTGTATGATATATACTTCCATAGAGAGGAACAGAAATGCCATTCTTTTGAACCCCCTGACCTTAACCTTTGAAAAATAACCTTGGTATAGGGTTACGGTACAACCTTCAATAATAAGCAACCTTCTATCCCCACATGATAAAATTTTACAATCCTTAAGCATTACAAAACTAGAGCAAAGATGTGGTGATTCTAGATTTCAACAACTTTTTCCAATTTTCTGTTTACTTAAAGGGACAAGTATGGTAATACCATATTATACTATCTCTATGTTTGCAATTTAGAAAAAAAAAAAAATGGAATAAAAGACAATGTTTACAGCATGTGGGAAGAAACTTTGAAATATGACAAGAACCATACAGTAGTGTATAATTATACAGACACTGACCCTTTACATAAATGTATGTCAAGGTGTGAATTACTAAGATACCTTTTACCTGATACAAAATAAAGTCTAACATACACTTATATCTTGTAATTTTATGGCTATCTCTAACAAAGGCTATTTATGGGTTCATAAAACCTTAGAAACAGAATTTATTATCTACAAAAATTCACCAACCATAAAGGGATCTGGGTCATCAACCTCCCTTTACAATTTACAAAATGCATAAAACTGTTAGACCAGGATCACTTCAAATGTTTTTTTTTTTCTGATATCAAATCACAGATCTTATGTTAATATAGGCTACATGTGTATCTGCTGTGGTAAATTGTGGGAACCTAGAATATATATGTTTCATTTGTCCTCTTAGTGTGCTCTGCTATTTGCAATATTAATAAAATTACATATACTGAATAGATAAAATGTTGTGCAACATCAATAAATGTCTGACAAAGCACCTCCTGCAGTACAGAAGTTTGAGTTCTTGGTTTGCTTGGCAGTGGGCCCAGTAGCCACCGATACTGAGAATGTAAAATCTGTGATGTGTGGGAGGAAGTTTTCAAACATCCTCAAACAAAGTGATATAAGTGTAGCATCTCAGAATTCTACACGATAATAGACTAGTGCACTCATAGAACTCAAAAATTTCTGCAACTCCAGGGCATTTGGTAGTGGTGTCGTATTGACTCCTAGATATAAGAGTACAGTAAGGATGGTTTAAAAAAACAATGTATCATACCAACTGTTCTTCCTGGAATTGAAATGGAGATAGAATAAAAATCTATGGGGAAAAATTCCACAGATCCATGATTATTTCCTTTTCAAATACTGTGCATTGTGAACTTACCAACAAGGGGGCATGTATGATGTAAATGATAAAAACTACAATGCACATCAAGCAAAACTTTCCATGCAATTATGGTAGTGTCAGATAAAAACACTGCACATCAAGAAAACTTTGTATGTAATTATAGCAGTGTCAGACATGCATCACCATTAGGTTCCTAAAGCATTCTGATGGGAGCCATATTCTAGCACTCGTTTTTAAGATACACTGCATCTGAACACAATTTTTTTCTTTCCTGGCCAATACTTGCTCACAATATTTATAATAATTGTCAAAATGACAAAAAATCTGATTCCATGGAGAAATGAGGCAATTATTTCAGACCCATATGCTCTACCAGAACTGACACACTTCACTAAATCATTCATCTCCTTAGTAATCCTCAGTCCTACATAAGCTGACTACTAACTTAGGACCATTGTAGCTAGGCTAAATTGCCAGAGATTTTGTAATATAGGCCCTTACAAGACCACTTCATGTGCTTCCTATCCATAGTCCAATGAATTTTAAATAAAGAAATATAGTAAAAATACCAGTAAAAGATATCCTCTACACAAGAAAGTGCTTACCAAAGATTACTTTTTACAACAGTTGATTATCTTGAACATCAATTCCTCAAATACCATTGATCAGAAATTAAGTCCAAACAACTTTGTATTTTAACCTCAATATTTCAAAACCCCATATATCTTGAAGTTTTTTCCCCAGCCCCTTCGAGTTTGAGATATAAGGGTTTTACTGTATATCTAAGACAATGAACATTATTTGATTTCCATAATTATAGACTTTAACTTAAACATTCAGTAAATATGTCCAACAAGGCTGTTGTAATTGTATCATCTATGCAAGTTTTGTCAAAATGAGGATCTGAAAATCTTAATAGGAAGAACTAATGCTACAAAAAACCTCAATGACTTCAGATTTTCCACTCATCCAGATTGCATAGATTCATAAGCATTCTGAGATGCATCATCCATGAAAATTAAAGTAGAGTATATATACATTGTAACAGGAAAGGGACCCGCTCAAGAAACCTTAACCTGGGCTGAATTGAAGTTCAATATGACACTGAAGAATGGAATAATATACTGTTGAACTTTGATATAATGAATATTGATATCTTGATTACCATATGTCTTAGTGAGTTAATCCCAACTACTTTTTCATTATGTATTCCAACCGCACTATCATGAATCCTTAGATATCTCAATTTTTTCTTGGCCCCATCAAGTCTAAGATAATGAAGTTTTATTCAGTCTATTAATTTCCTTGTGCACTGTTGAAGACTGTAAAATGATTTTTTTTCACCACTCATAAATTGTTAATCAGAGCTTAAAAGAATTAACGACATCATTTATTTCCTGAATGGAGATACCAATAGTAAAAAAAAGATCCAGAAAGATGAAAATTATCCTTGTATATGTATTCCATTTTGTGTATGTATTCCAACACAACTCTCTAAAAGACTAGTGGACCATGTTTGAATCCACAAACCATATCAATGTTTGCATATTTTATTGACTAAAATTTTGGTTATTTGTCTCTTTGTATATTATATTCACACTGAAAACTTAGTTTACTTTGCAATATATTAAATTGGGAAAGGGGGATGCAATTTTCATGGATTGCTTAGTCTAATTTGGTGGGTGAACACATAATCAATGTTTCAGTGTAAATTCATGGATAAAAGTATCTATGAAAATCAAACTTTCATGAAATACATTGTATAATGACTCCACAGAACTTGAATCTCTCTATATAGTCTTGCCGTGTGGTCTTTGAATTATAATACCTCACTGCTATAATCTTCTTGTGTGAAGCTTTGGCTTTTATTGTTGTTCCATTGCATTAGAGTGAAAAAATTTAATTTCTTCTCAGTATATGACATGAGTTGTCTGAAAGGTGATGAAGAATTGACCATTTTTAGTATCTGTTATGATGTCAGTGGTGCATCACCGACAGCTGTAGAATATAGATACAAGTGTAAAATGAGAGAACAACAATTACAAGACATGTTCAATATAAACATGTTCTGATTAATAGCCCAACATTTACATGAGGTGTTTCTAAATGAAAATCATATGTTACAAGATGTTCAATGAAATCTCAACATCCAAAATAAGCATTCAGTGAAGGTAAGAGGTTCAGTGAAACCCTTACATGAGGTGTTCACTGCAGACAGCCCAGTATTTATAAGAGATGTTCATTGATAACCCAATATCTATTTCAGGTATTAAATGAAAGCCCAATTTACAACTGGTTTTCAATGAAAGCTCAGCATTTCAAAAGCCATTTTCAATAAAATCTGAGCAAATGCCAGGGTACCACTGAATGAGCAGAACCAGTCACACTACATTGTAAAAGCCCACAATGACAAGAATGAAGGAAATGTGCAACATGGACTGTATATGATCCATTACAGTTAACACAAATTCCCCCTTTTCCATTTGACAAAACTGGAATCCAGACATGATTTGTATAAGATTTAGATGTAGACTCTAGACCAGACATCCCCAAAAAATGTATATCAAAAAATAATGATCAAAATCTATTCAGTCTGCTAAAGGTATTTTAGTTCTAACTAGATCTTTATCTTCTTTTGTGTACATTACGTAATACATTTACAACACAAACCAAGTCAATACCAGACAGGCATATGATGAGAGATCAAATACAAAGCAATGTCACCTACAACACCTTTC